GCAATAAAAAGAAATATGCAATGCTATGATGTCATTCTGCATACTGTTTCATATATAATAATAAAAAAATAATATGCATTATGCAGTATATACTAGAGCTCATGATTAATTGTGTAAAGATCATGATCTCTTATTCCAAAATGACAATGATAAACAAGTACGATCACAGTGAACATTCAGATCTGGGTTCTGATCCAGAGAGAGCAGTTTTCATCTCACAGCTTCACAAACAGTGTTTTCAACCACTCGGTGTCACAAATATTAATATTATAACAGAAGTACTGGGATTAAAGCTTATAGTTCTCATATAAACACTGATGTATACAGTATTAAATCTAGCAAACAAATTAACCGTTACTCCAGTAGGTGGCGACAAGTGACTTCAAATAATGATGATAGATTTTAACCTAATCACAACTGACTGGAAAATTCAATAAAATGACCTGTATGCTTCGACTTCTACAAATAACATTCAGTTTCAGGCTAATTTTAAATGGAGAAAAATACAATATAACTGTATTTTTTAAGATGGGAATAAACTGGGCTCAATCTGCTGAATTAAATATGCAACTTTGTGAGGTCACATAACTAAGTAGTTTACTACAATTTTAAGTGATTATTGTTGCATTCTGAATTTTTTTTATTTTTTAAATAGTATGCATTATACATTATGCACTTCTTACTAAATGCATGCTAATATTCCTGGGTTTCCATGATGATAGAAAACCTGGAAATATCAGGGAATTTGTATTATAATTATTAAATTTGAGTCTGAAAATATCATGGATACAATCTAATTAATCAGCTCTAAATAACTGAAAATTCCAGTTCTAAAATTGCTCTAAAATATGTCAACCTGAAATTGCACTATAAAATGTTTTTTTTTTATATATATACACACATATATATATATATATATACACATATGATATGATCTAATAATAACAAATAAAAAAGAAAAATTCAATGAAAAGAATTGCATTCCACACGTACCCCCAATGTTTGATTTGTCCATTCTGTTACCCAGTAGCCCTAGAGAGGCGGAGTCTCCAGATGAAGAAGCGGGCAGCTCTCAGCAAGGTGCCCACTTGGAGAAAGAGCAGGGCAGACAGACCAAGAGGAAGGATGGAGAAGAGGGTGAGCGGTCCGGAAGAAGCAGTCCTGAGGAGAAGGGAGATGGAGAGGAGGGAGAGAAAGAGGAAGCTACGGAGTCCGTGTTAACAGAGGAGGATCTGATCCAGCAGAGTCAGGCTGAGTACGACTCCGGACGCTACAGTCCCACGCTCCTCCAGCCCTCCGAGTTACCGCTGGACACACACATCATGAAGGTGGAGGAGGACCTGCAGAGACTCCTGCTGGCCCGGAGACAGCTGCAGGTGACAGGTGCGTATCGCATCATAGACCATAGTGACGTTACACACACACCACATGCTATTAAGTTTCACTACCAGAATTGTATCAGGAAAAAAAGTCAAATGTAAATGTTGAAAGTTGAAAGTAAGCATGCATTTTCATCGTTTGAAAGAATTCATGGCCAGTGTATAGATGGTTACTTCCTAATTTATCTCCCCACTTGCTTTTTCTAACAAAAAAGTGTCCTGCACACTGGGTGCTTAGAAAATGCAATGTGAAATTGCATGTAATTTCAACTTCTGCCACTGGGAGGCGCATTATATCCCACCCCGCCTCTTTACTGGCCACTTTGAATTTGTGAGGGTGGTAAAAAATATGTAGAAAGATTTTAAAAATTGTTTACCTTTTATGTGGGTGTTACAAACAGCAGAAAAGCAGGAAATAGACTCAGGGAAAAACTTAATGGGCTTCACTAATGATTACAGAACATGTTTTATTGTGCGTTCACTGTAAGATTAACAATGTTGTAAAATAAGTGACTAAAGATTCTTAACTGATAAAATAAAACTAGCTTATTAAAGGAGTAGTTCACTTTTAAAAAAACTTTCGCTGATAATTTACTCACCCCCATGTCATCCAAGATGTCCATGTCTTTCTTTCTTCAGTCGAAAAGAAATTAAGGTTTTTGATGAAAACATTCCAGGATTTTTCTCCATATAATGGACTTCAATGGGAACCAAACGGTTCAAGATCCAAAAGACAGTTTCAGTGAAGCTTCAAAGGGCTTTAAACGACACCAGACAACGAATAAGGGTCTTATCTAGCGAACGATTTCAAAAATAAATAAAAAAGTTTAAGTTTTATAAGCACAAATGCTCACCTTGCTCTGTTCTGTGATGTGCGTTCGTGACTCTCCTGTTCGAACTCGTTCATCAAAATGAACGCATCTTGAATGAACTAAATGACTCGGAAAAAAGATGAAGACTTCATTTTGATGGTGGTGTTCGAATAGGAGAGTCTATCATTTATTAAATGTGAACTACTCCTTTAAGAGTTCACATTTGCCTTCTGTTAAGATTAACTCATGCTAAAACGTCTCTTTCTTGAACAGGTGATGCAAACGAAAGTGCGGAGGATGCATTTGTGCGTCGCGCTAAAGAGGGAATGAGCGGCGACGAGGCCCAGTTCAGTGTCGAAATGCCTTTGACTGGAAAAATGTACCTGTGGGCCGACAAATACCGCCCACGCAAGCCGCGCTTCTTCAACCGCGTTCACACCGGCTTCGAGTGGAACAAATACAACCAGACGCATTACGACTTCGACAACCCGCCGCCCAAGATCGTCCAGGGCTACAAGTTCAACATCTTCTACCCCGATCTCATCGACAAACGCTCAACTCCGCAGTACTTCCTCGAGCCCTGTCCCGACAACAAAGACTTTGGAATTCTGCGCTTCCACGCCGGGCCGCCGTACGAGGACATCGCCTTTAAGATCGTGAACCGCGAATGGGAGTATTCCCATCGCCATGGCTTCCGCTGCCAGTTCGCCAATGGAATCTTTCAGCTGTGGTTCCACTTTAAGCGGTACCGCTACAGGCGCTGAAGAGGAGGATCTGCTAGCGTTTGATTTATATAAGCCAAGTGTTGATTATAGAGAACACTGAACGTTTATTTTCAAATGCTGTAAGATTGGTGTAAATCTAAAAATACAAGTACAAACTCTGTTTATTGATGCCACACGCATCCCCCGTCAGTGGAAAACCAGTTTTTCAAAGGGGCAGGACCTACGTACGTGTACTTTACCTTGACATTCTCTGTTTTGCAGGCACTTTGCTTGAATTTGATTCCTTTTTAAACTAGGTTAGGTGTTTGTACCTTAAAGGGATACTCCACTTTTCTTTGGAAATAGACTCATTTTACAACTCCCCCAGAGTTAAACTGTTAATCCATTCAGCCGATTTTCTGATATTTAGAAGAACATCAGTAACCAGACAGTTTCTGGTCCCATTGACTTCCATAGTAGGAAACAAAATATACTATGGAAGTCAATGAGACCACGAACTGTCTGGTTACTGATGTTCTTCTAAATATCGGCTGAATGGATTCGAAAACGGTAAAACTCAACTGTTTAACTCTGGGGGAGTGGTAAAATGAGCCTATTTCCGAAAAAAGTGGAGTATCTCTTTAAAATTGTAATTCTTTTTCAATGTCTTTACATTAAAGGTTGTTTGCCAACTTTTTTGTGGTCCTTTTTTATTTTTGTTTTTCATCGGCAAAAGGCATTTTACAGCATTTAAGGTACAAAAATTAAAAATATTGTTAGCATCTAAAACAAGTTTCTGCTGTACATTCATATATATATATATATATTAACATTTAACATGAGCTGCATTAAACTAGGACTAAGATGCAATCATTTGACACTTGTCTTGGCATCCTGATGATACAGGAAGTTCATTCTTGTCCATGTAGAATTTCCTTTAAAGGTAACATACATGGGTTTGTTGCAACACCCACAGCAGGTTTTAACAAGACATCATTTTCTTAACCCCGAAGGGTGCATATGCCTCTAAAACAGGAAAAAAAAAAAAAAAAAACAATAAAATTGTCCTGAAATAGAATCAAAATATTCTGCCTCAGACTTAAGGGCTCATGTTTTTTTTGATTTTTTGTATCAGCTGACCTTCTGAGGGAGGGAGAACTACTCATTGGATTTGATTCAGTGTGTTTGTGGCACTTACTAGCAAGTTAAGTATATATTTATTAGCATAACTTGTTACGGGCCGTTCGCACTCACTGCACTCATTTTCATTGTTTTTCTATTTAAACTTAGACTGACGTATTTGACTTTTGCGCTTGTGTTTTTTTTTTATTATTCCACTGAACAAAACATTCCCTTACAAAAATACTTTCTATGTGAACGACACCTAACTCTACTGATTTCCGAGGAACTGTTTGTGGAGACTCTCTCTGCGTTATTTTTCATATTGTGGTGTAATCTATTTTACATAGCACACATGTGATGGCCGCTTGTGTAGGTACATGATAAGATGGTCATTTCCTGTCCATGTGGGTAATTTCTTTAGTATTATAATAGGCCTGTCCAAACACCCACACTTGTGGTCTTTGCACTGATGACTTGCCTACTAAAATAACATCTTTCCTGTAAGTGTTCAAGCGGCATGAAGACTTCATGTTTTTGTAGAGAATTAAATGCTATATTTAATTAATTTAACATGCACTGGAAAGTTTTCCTCACAACTCTTAGGGCACATGAGTTCTTGCTTTAAATACTGTTCTGATGCGGTATTAGAGATAGATATAGTGTGCTTTAAGGTGGGTTCACAACTGTGGGTTCAGGGTATTTACTGCTATGGTTTCAGATAAAAATAGTGGGCTGTGCAAATGATTTGGCGTATAGTGAGGAAACAGCAGGGCGATTCGGGTCAACAAAACCCACTAGAGAGTGTATTTGTGTGTATGAGGATATGTACATGCTGTATGGCTGCTAGTAGCCTATGTGATATAGTCGTGTATGGTTTGGGAATGAGGAAGAGCCTATAAACAAGTCTCCCCAAATGTTTTCGATGTGTTGAAATGAAATCCGCTTTTTAAAAGCTATTTTAAAGACAAGCAACAACAAATCTGGAGGCATCTCAACAAATATTTGAAATATTGCCAAGCAGTTTGACACACTAACGCTGATTTTGCATAATTGAAATAGCTGCCTGGTGGCGTTACAAATACGTCCACCAAGTGATTTGACTTTGAAGAGACTTTGGCAGTTCAAAAGTCTGGTTCAGTGTCTTCATATTCTTTTTTCCATATGAAACATGGTGTTTCACACCACATTTGGCATATGGTAGTTGAAAAATGGCATTTAGAATGAAAGGCAATTCATCAAGGACACAAAGTGGGTCAAAACAGCAGTTTAGTCAAGAGTTAGCAGGTGCAAAAGAGGATCCAGCACCCGTGGTCTGCATTTAAAAGATGAACTATCACATTAGCTGCATTAGCAAGTCTGCGCATAACAACGACCTCAGATCTCTGACTCATCATCTATATATGTCATTGAGATCTGACCTGAGGAACCAACCGTGGTTGAGAGTCTGTCTGTTTCTCTAGAGATGGAACACCTCTGGATGTCTGGATGGTTGTTGTTGCTGTTCATGTTCACTGTCGATGACGCTGCTTTACGTTGTTGAGCCTGGTTTCCAGAGAACCTCTCGTCCCCGCACCTGTTTGTCGTGTCCTTTACCCTACTGTGGCAACATGGCAAAGGTAAATGCCCTTTGTACAGGTTCCAAATCACTAGCATTGCTAGAATTAACGACAATACCACCACCATCGCCACTAGGGTGTTCTCTTTTTCCTTAATGTCCCTGAGGGACGCTGTAGTCCCAGGTCCTGACCACATTGTTAGATGATATGCCACGTGCTGGGCCTCGTATTTCCCCTCGACAGAACTGCAGGTGTAGTCGCCGCTGGCTTCTGCGGAGGCGTTGAGGATCATTAGGCAGTCCGAGAGGATCTGGAAGGTGTTTGACGGTGTGATCGGCAGTCCGTTCAGCTGCCAGTGAACCTTTGCCAGGTTGGAATAAGGCTGGCACCACAGCTTCACGGTATTGCCATGGAAAACCGAGATGTTGACCGGCTTACTGACACCTGTAATACAAGGTCTAGATGTAGATTCGACCAAAACATAGGCTACAGATTAAAGATTTTGGGATATACTGTGTTACAATTACCTATTGGCGGACACTGACTGGCGTTACCGTCACTCAAACTCTGAATCACGGTGCTGTGGAAGAACAAATATTACAGCAATCAGTAATATGCCGATATCAATATTTGTAATGGTGTGCGAAATTATCACTTAAAAATATATGCTGGTACATACATTTTGCATATTTTGATTCATTTTTCCCGTCAAATTTCCATCACCATAATGCATATATTATATTATATGTGTCTTCTGACCTGGTTCTGTTTCTGTGTGTGTCGTCTATGGTAGAGCAGCGTTCGATGTTGAGGTCCCAGCCACAGTACGGATCCCTGGCCAGAACGCAGTCCAGACACGTGTGGTACCGCCCACATTCACTAATGGACAGCTGCACCACGCCCACCTCCGAACCCACGTATAGCTGTTGTTGGGATGACATCACATAACTTAACATTTCTATATATAGGCTAATCAATTATTATTGGTCCAAGCTGAACATACATAACCCAAAATAATCCTTTAAAACAACACATGTGTGACACAACACCATTTAAAAGTTTAAGGTCAGAAATATATATTTTTAAAAGAAATGAAGGATGCATTAAATTGTATGAATTGTATAAAATAAAAGTATTGTTATTTTGTTTTATTTAGTTATTTTTGTCATAATTTAGGGGTGTAACAATATATCGTGCCACAATATATCGCAATACAAAAATGCAACAATACATACCGTTGATAGTAACAATATGTATCGTGGATAGTCCCCCCAAAATAAAAATGAAAAATTTTTTTTTTCAAGTTTTCAGAGTTTTAGTGTAAGTACTACATTAATATAATTTTGATTATAATGTATAATAATGCAATGTGGGAATATTTATGGGTCCTGATAATGCCAAGTGTCTAATATATCTAGTCAGTGAAAGAGGCCATGCATATTCATCTAAAATGTATTTTCAGCTTCAGAATCAAGAATATTTTTATTTTGGTGTCACCATTGTCCTTGGGTTGCAAGCACCAGGTCCAAGCCTATTCATTTAAACCCACAATGTAATTTCAAATGTAGCATTTTAATCAAAACTACATTTTTTGTTAACCTTTTACCATATGTCTTGGAGTATCGCAATAATATCGTATCGTGAGTTCACTATCGTGATATGTATCGAATTGTAAAATGATGGTATGGTTACACCCCTATTATAATTGTTATTTTTGTTTTGTGTATTTGAGTTTTCACAAAAATATGAAGCACCACTGTTTTCAACATTGATAATAATAATAAATGTAATTTAAGCAGCAAATCAGCATATTAGAATAATTTCTGGAGGATCATGTGACACTGAAGACTGTAGCTAAAAAAATTCAGCTTTGATCAAGGGAATAAATTACATTTTACAATATATTCAAATAGAAAACATTAATATTAGTAATATTTCATAATATTACTGTTATATAATACGCCTTATTCACGGCAGCGCCATCTTTGATTTTTAATGAGAATGAAAGCGAGGCTGTGAGGGATAAACTTGCATCTCTTCAATGGGCTGTACTGTTATTTAATGTGTTTTCGGATTTTTCTGCACATGAAACACTGGAAAAATGTCTTTCCAAGAAATTTCAGTTGACAAAAAACTCCCGACAATGTAAGCTGTGGAAAATTGTAAGTAATCTAGCAGCTTTATTCAGCTTTTTACAGCGGATGCCATTGGAAACGGTACATCTATCCCTCACAGCCTCACTTTCATACCTGTCATGGCGCTGCTCTGAATAAGGTCTATAGTATTATATTTAATAATTTTACTGTATTTGTAATTTGGTGCAGCCTTGGTGAACATTAGTGACCTCTTTCAAAAAACTTTTGAACATTAATACAGAAAACAATTGTTAACTGCTATTTAAGATTTGACCATTCAACCCATGACTTTGGCATTGTTGTTTTACCAAGTTCGCTTTGCTGACAGAAACAGAGAGAGTATAAAATTGGACAACAAACACAGCTCACGATGTTGCTAAGTGAGAAATAAACAGCTCATATTGTTGCTAAGTGAAAAATAAACACATTGATCAGCTTTTTTACCTTGGTGTTGGAAAGTCGCAGTATCTTGACGGGCTCTGAGGGCTCAAATACCTGAATCTCTTCCATAATAACCATCTCTCTCTCATAATTCACAGCTTTCAGCACTGAACCGCTCTCTGAAACATAACAAAACAGAACACAACAGTTAAACACACTTACACAGCTGAAGATGCCATTAAATGTCTTGAATATATTAAATGATATCATATTAATTATATAATCTGTATTAGTAATGGTGTAGAAAAATCATTGGGTGCACATCACAAATGCTAATACTAATTTTGCATAAAGAAAACATTTGTGCATACATTTTTCTGACAATTAAACGCATTCTGTATAACATATTTTAATATATTTAAATTTCTTTTGAGGGTTTACTAATAAATAAAAAAACTAGATTAACATGAAGGCATCTTTACTTGTGCCAATGAGCGTGACGTGATAGTTGCTCCCGTTCAAGGCTGTCGCTGTGGCCACCACAATTCTAGTGAAAGCAGTGCCTCTCTTCACCAGCAGGGCTTGATTTCTAATGGGCGAGACTGCCTGGTCCATCAGAGGCTTTTCTTTAACGAACTGCAACGTTTTGTCCGGCAGATCCAGGGTTTTGGTGAAGCCCTGTTCTCTGGCATGATTGTCAATGCACTTTAGTGAGAAGCAAAGGGAAAGTTACTGAACTTTGGTATCCATTAATATTGAGCGAATGTGGAAACAGAAATATTGAACAGAAGACTCACTGCTCCAGGTCGAGGGTCAGGTAGTTCAGCCGAGTACATCGCCCACTTCACAAACGACGTCTCGACGGTAAAAGGAGCCTTAAACTTGCTCTTTGAGAACACCGTCCTGACGTCTTCAATTTTGTATGCACATACTGCAGAGTATTGAGAGGAGTCTCTGCCGATGAGACGCGACACATCAGTCTCAATGGTTTGTGGCATCGAATCTTTTAAAGTTTGGTTTGAGAGTGCAAGTAAATGGCAAAATCAAAGAGCTCAAACTTACAATTGTAGAGTAAAAAACACCATAAAAGACACAGGTGGTCCAGTTATCTTGGCACACGTGGAACATGTCCTGGACCAGAAGAGGCAGGTTAACTTTTGGAATGGGACAGTCAAGCCTCGCTTTTAGAAATGATGTCCACTTCTTTTGCAACGTCCTCTGCCCACCCAAGTCTCCCTGCGTGGAAAAAAAATTACATTATTTTGCATAGATGTCATATGTGAGGTACAGATAGGAAATGCTGCCTCATAATCATATAGAGATGACTCCAAGGGCGTTTACCTTGCAGACACGAGCCACCCGAGAGATGTCCACCTTGGTGTATGAATCATATTCCACCGCGGTCTCGCTGAAGAACAGATAGATCTTGTCGTCGTCGCCCTCTGGGCTCGATTCTCCCTCCGGGATGTGGGCCATGTAGACAAAATTTGGTTCTTAAAAGGCAAATAAATAACATATTTCAGTTACAATGACCTTCCTGTCAGCTTTAATGTGTTTTCACCCACAGAACTGTGTGTTTCGAACCATGACTGATCAGCAGACACTCAAACCTAGAAGTCGGGCACCAACAGTCACTCTACGGTTTAAGAAAACTAGTTTATGCTCATGTTTAAAAACAAATGAACCACTAACCATATCCGCATACTTTTATACATTGGGTTCCTGTCACATGATTAGGTTTTTTAACCCCAAATAGTAGATAACATAACACTATTATGTAGGAAAAACCAGGTTTCTACATTGCTTGCCATTGAAAAGTAGAACACATTTATGATAAATTGCATAGTAATTCATAGTTTTTATGTGATGTCACACCCTTACAGTAATGCACACCTGGCGGGCAAAACAAGGCTTTCCTCTGATGACTGCCCGTAATTATAATTACTAATAATTATATATAAGACTATATAATTATATAATTATATATATATAGTGATATTAAAAGATCAGATTCAGTATAAGTTTATTGATGATGCATACTATAAATAGGCAAGCAGATGAGCCCGTACGTAGTTTCCCATTATAAAGTAAATACTTAATGTGGTTTAATCCATTAAGTCCCTAATCCTTATTAATAAAACATACAAACCCAATTCCATAAAAGTTGGGACACTGTACAAATTGTGAATAAAAACAGAATGCAATGATGTGGAAGTTTCAAATTTCAATATTATGTTTAGAATACAACATAGATGACATATCAAATGTTGAAAGTGAGACATTTTGAATTGCCATGCCAAATATTGGCTCCTTTTGGATTTCATGAGAGCTACAAATTCCAAAAAAAGTTGGGACAGGTAGCAATAAGAGGCCAGAAAAGTTAAATGTACATATAAGGAACAGCTGGAGGACCAATTTTCAACTTATTAGGTCAATTGGCAACATGATTGGGTATAAAAAGAGCCTCTCAGAGTGGCAGTGTCTCTCAGAAGTCAAGATGGGCAGAGGATCACCAATTCCCCCAATGCTGAGGCAAAAAATAGTGGAGCAATATCAGAAAGGAGTTTCTCAGAGAAAAATTGCAAGAGTTTGAAGTTATCATCATCAACAGTGCATAATATCATCCAAAGATTCAGAGAATCTGGAACAATCTCTGTGCATAAGGGTCAAGGCCGGAAAACCATACTGAATGCCCGTGATCTTCGGGCCCTTAGACGGCACTGCATCACACACAGGAATGCTACTGTAATGGAAATCACAACATGGGCTCAAGAATACTTCCAGAAAACATTGTCAGTGAACACAATCCACCGTGCCATTCACCGTTGCCGGCTAAAACTCTATAGGTCAAAAAAGAAGCCATATCTAAACGGGAACCAGAAGCGCAGGCGTTTTCTCTGGGCCAAGGCTCATTTAAAGTGGACTCTAGCAAAGTGGAAAACTGTTCTGTGGTCAGACGAATCAAAATTTGAAGTTCTTTTTGGAAAACTGGGACGCCATGTCATCCGGACTAAAGAGGACAAGGACTACCCAAGTTGTTATCAGCGCTCAGTTCAGAAGCCTGCATCTCTGATGGTATGGGGTTGCATGAGTGCGTGTGGCATGGGCAGCTTACACATCTGGAAAGGCACCATCAATGCTGAAAGGTATATCTAAGTTCTAGAACAACATATGCTCCCATCCAGACATCGTCTCTTTCAGGGAAGACCTTGTATTTTCCAACAAGACAATGCCAAACCACATACTGCATCAATTACAACATCATGGCTGCGTAGAAGAAGGATCCGGGTACTGAAATGGCCAGCCTGCAGTCCAGATCTTTCACCCATAGAAAACATTTGGCGCATCATAAAGAGGAAGATGCAACAAAGAAGACCTAAGACAGTTGAGCAGCTAGAAGCCTTTATTAGACAAGAATGGGACAACATTCCTATTCCTAAACTTGAGCACCTTGTCTCCTCAGTCCCCAGACGTTTGCAGACTGTTATTAAAAGAAGAGGGGATGCCACACAGTGGTAAAAATGGCCTTGTCCCAACTTTTTTGAGATGTGTTGATGCCATGAAATTTAAAATCAACTTATGTTTCCCTTAAAATTATATATTTTCTCAGTTTAAACATTTGATATGTCATCTATGTTGTATTCTAAATATAAAATTGAAATTTGAAACTTCCACATCATTGCATTCTGTTTTTATTCACAATTTGTACAGTGTCCCAACTTTTATGGAATTGGGTTTGTACTATTCACAAGCAGCTAAACCCAGAATTTGAACTCAATGCATAAAGTTTCATATTAAGCATTTACACTGCTTGCTTTTATATAGTATGCATAATCAATAAGCTGTATAGTTAATTTGATCTATTAATATCAGTCTTATTACATTAGCCACTTTAAGGCCTGGTTTCACAAACAGGGTTTAGATTAAGCCTGGTTTAGGCCTTAGTTCAATTAGGACATTTTGCCTTAGTGTTAAAGGGACACAATGCAGGAATTCTGTTTGTCAAACAGCGACCCCTAGAGTCCCTGTGGAGTACTTGTATTTAACGTTACTGTCGTAAATACCACTCATGGCGTGACGTGTTACATACAATAGTACATTGTGTTTAATTTGTCGTTTAATGAGATCTAATATATGTTGTTAGTGGTGAGAATTATCACATGATTAAATGCATAGATCCGGCGGGACGAGACGAGTGGCTTTCCAGGCGAGACGGCCACAATTCAACCCGAAAGAAGTCATACAACCATTTCGATAACTCCGAAGCTGTTCAGGTAAGCTAAAAAAACTGCATAGTGTCCCTTTAAGTGCCTTCGGGCCAAGTGTTTTTGAAGGTTCTGCTGTTTATAATGATTGAAATGCTGCAACAGGTTCTCTAAATTGATTGCAAGTTCCCGAAACTTGCAGTTTGCTCACACATCTTTGTTTCTCTTCTCTTAAAAGGTGATCTAAATATTCATGGCTTGAAACAGATGGAGGAATTGACAGACCTATGTTGCAGATCTATTGATGTTTTGCGCTCTAGTTCTCCGTGATTGAAAACTATGAATTGGCAAAAAAATATTTCAGGGAATGAAGCAAAGATTTCAGCATTCAGGATGTGTACTTTCTGCAATTGAAATGAATGGGCAATGGCATGCTAACAAATAACTATATCCAAGCTTAATAGCCACAAAAAAAAAATATTATTGTCTTGTGGCTGAAAAAGCTAAAAAATATGTGTTTGCCAGAGTGTTGCAAGGTATTGCAATTAGTTTTCTAATGTGTTGTAACGGTCTTTAGCACACTGTGGTTGAAGGTTTGTTTAGACATGCCCATTATCTCACCATTGAGCCAAGTGCTTGCAAACTCTGTCCGTATGATTTCGTCCGTGCTGCGCATCATAACTGGCTCTGAACCCCGGAAGTTAATTGAAGTGGCAGTGTATAACGCTCCATCTGCAAGAGGCAAAAAACAAGAAAAAGATGATGTGGCACTAAATTAACACTTGTTTATAGTTGCATATGAGTCAGTAGAGGTGTCAATTGTGCTTAATCTGTTTTTAACTGGCAAAATTATGAATAAACAGTCAAGTACGTACCAACCATCTCAGACGTGTATCGTTGATGAGGATCAAATGGACATTTCCCCTTTCCATCTTCTTGCTTGTTCGCTAAATTCAGCTGACCATTTGCATAGGACTAAGAATAACACGTGAAAAAAACACATAAACCACTGTCTTCTGCACATTCTATGTTTGTAGTCTCTAACACTGAATATAATAGATGAGACTCACCATATGGTCACAGGATGGGTTGAATGCTTTGGTTCCACAAACATACATACTGCCATCTTTATTTTTATGAAGAATTCGGATATAGTTTCTGCAGTCATTCTAAAGAAAAAACAAACAATTTTGCCGTGAGAAACAAATAAATGATGTGATCTTTGTGTAAAGACCTATTCTCAATTCTGACCACAATGTCTAACCAAGCAGAACCAAACACTTCCCTTTCCTATGTGTTCTTCGAATGAATAAGTTCTAGTGGTTGTTTTTGGCTTTTACTTAGTACTTGATAATATCTGTCGATATCTGCTGAAATGATCAATCCATGCAGGTTGTACTTTCTTGCATTTTGCTTTGTCTTTAAACCTCTTTTTACCTTGATATTTGCATAACATATAAAATTCATGCAGCATCTATACAATGACACACATAAAGATCAATAAAAATAAAGATCATTCCATAAATTATATTTTGAGAATATAATTTAAAGGGTTAGTTCACCCAAAAATGAAAATGAAGTCGTTAATTACTCACCCCCATGCTGTACCAACCCCGTAAGACCTTCGTTCGTCTTCGGAACACAAATGAAGATATTTTTGATTAAATTTGAGAGCTGTATAACTACCACATAGGCTCCTAAGGGACTGCCTTTTGACGGCCCAGAAAGTCAATGAAGAAAATGTTTAAATATCCCAAGTGACTACCGTGGCTCAACTATATGTTTATCAAGCGACGCGAATACTTTTTGTGCGAAAAAACAAACAAAAATAACGAGTTTATTCAACTATTCCTTTTCTTCCTTGTAGGCCAGAAACGAGACTTCCTTAGATTTCCACGACGCATGCGCGAGAATTGCGATCTGCTTACACTACTTCAGTTGAGTTCTCGCGCATGCGTCGTGGAAATCTAAGGAAGTCTCGTTTCTGGCCTACAAGGAAGAAAAGGAATAGTCGAATAAACTTGTTATTTTTGTTTGTTTTTTCGCACAAAAAGTATTCGCGTCGCTTGATAAACATATAGTTGAGCCACGGTAGTCACTTGGGATATTTAAACGTTTTCTTCATTGACTTTCTGGGCCGTCAAGAGGCAGTCCCTTAGGCAGCCAATGTGGTAGTTATACAGCTCTCAAATTTAATCAAAATCTTCATTTGTGTTCCGAAGACGAACGAAGGTCTTACGGGGTTGGTACAGCATGGGGGTGAGTAATTAATGACTTAATTTTCATTTTTGGGTGAACTAACCCTTTAAGTACATTTTAAAAATTTTATCAGAAAAAGAATTTCTTAAAACTGAATACTCTGCATTTACAATAAATTAATATACTTCAGGTGATCAAAATGTACATATCTACTAATATATAGCAAGACAGATAATAAGACCCAATAAAAGCTGGTGCAAGGTATTATTTGTCAAAACATTTTTTTACACACACACACACACACACACACACACACACACACACACACACACACACACACACACGCCCAAAATGCAACTGTTTTATTGAATTTCAAATGTGAAAACTCACCGTAGCATCTTTTCCTTTATAGGAACATTCTTTTTGCTGCTGTTCTGTGACTGGCCAATTCACCTGAGGAGAAACAACACAACTTATCATCATCCCTGTATTGGGTTCCCACACCTTGGTTACCTTCAAATTCAAGGACATTTCAAGGACTTTCCAGGTCCACTACCCTCAAATTCAAGGACTTGGATTGGTGGGGACACATTTCAAGTGAGAGCAAGGTTACATCGTGTTACCTTGTGGGATACATTGTTAGTTTTACACGAGTGAACGTCATGGCGACATACAAAACAAAGTACCTCATGCTGGAAACACTTAACATAAAGCATAAATCCGCGTAACTAACGTAAATCAAGCGAGCTAGTATGCATAGGCTACGAAGTGTTGGCAAAATAACACATTAGCGAAGCGGAGGACATAATATGGATTTTTTTCCCCCAGAAAATTTCTTGCACAAAATAAATTAAAGCACTGTCAAGGACCTGTATCTATGCATGTTTATTTTCAAAAACATTCCAGTTCCTTGAAAAAAAAAAAATTCAGATTCACAAACTTTCAAGGACACGTGGGAACCCTGAGGTGAACACATTTATCACAGCATAAGAATGCATTTAAGACCTCACCATGGCCTTCTTGACTGTAATGTCATCTAGATCGAGGGCAAAAATGGCTTCCCTGGCACCCAGGATGAGCATGTTGAGGTCTTCCCGCAGAAGCATAGTGGTGTAGTTCCAAACACCCTCCTCGCGAAACAAACGTCCTCCATTACCTAGCAACAAATGAAGGCCACAGTCAAGGGTGGGAGTTGCAAACGTTTGCCAAAAATGGAAAACTCACACACAGGACAAGTAAATGTTGTTTGAAAACAAAGGAATGTAGTCCTGTATCTCGTCTGTCACCTTTGGCTTGCTCGGTTGGGGTTTAAATGTACAGAAATACGGTGCGTGCATAATTATTATGCAAGTCGATATTCTGATCATGCTTTTATTTCAAACACATTTCTGAACCACATCAATCTTAATAAGTACTATACAATTTTTATATAATATTTAAATTAAAAAAAGTTATTGTTAATGAGGGCTGGAAGTGGACAACACCTTATTTCAGATGTGTATAATTATTAAGCAGGTTTTCTTTCACAGGTAGAATGAACCAAAAAAAGTAAGAAAGAGAGATTTAACTCACACTGAAGAGAAATTATTAAAAGCCAATTAGAAGGATGTGATACTATAGAAATGCTAAATTATTGAACAAGAAACGCTCCTGGGGACAGCAGGGTCACAAAAAACAGTTTGTGAAGAAAAGATATGAAATGCAAAAGACTAAGATTTAGGTGCAAAACCATCAGAAACCCTTTAGTCTCCTGTGCCATGATTTTCTAGAACTGCACCCTACCTGGAGTCTCCAGAAGTACAAGGTATCAGGTTCTCAGACACTTTGCTAAGGTAATCAGATTCAGATTATTTTATTTCATGCCATGTCAGAGCTATTTTCATGGCAAAAATTCATTTACAAAACTACAAACATCATATAAATAAAACAAAACCAAAACAAATATAAACAAGAAGTCATATTACACATTTTTTTTTTTTTTTTATTAACATATGATAAAAAAAATCCAGAACCTTTTCAGGCATAATCTCATTAATTGTGTCCTTCAAAGAAGTAACTTCATAAAAGAGCCTTCTGCTTGCGTTAAGTCCAGGACAATCTACTAAAAAATGTTTGACAGATAAAGGAATTTTACAAAACATACATAAAGTTGGGTCTTCACCTTTAAGCAAAAAGCATGGGTAAAACTTGTATGTTGCTAAGGTAAAGAATCCTGAAACATGAAGAGTTGTGAAACACATGAAGACTGAATGGCTTTATAGACAGATAGGCTGAGAGTGACCCTTGATGGACCAGAACCACTTCCTCTTGCACCACTGTTTGAGGAATATATCTTCCAGAAACTGCAGTATGATTTGGGATTTGATCTACCCTTAAAGGTCCCATCTTGCTCATTGTTAGTCGCAGCTCACACCATGACTTCTTCACCATCGCTACTGTTGTCGGACTGGTGCTGGTATCTCATGAGTTAACCAGTCCATAAACTATTTCACAATACATGTGATTTTTATCAAGAGGGGGTCATGTTTCATAATGCCTTGCCTTAAAGTCACGAGAACCTGACACCTTGTACTTCTGGAGATTTCCAGGTAGTTTGCAGATCTGAAAAATGGTGGCTCTGGAGACTGAGTATAATTAATTGTGAAACCAACAGAAACTCTTTTGCAGTTAACATGCAGATTTTCTTCTAAACCTGTTTTTATGACCATGATCAATGGTTGACCAAAGGTCACACCTTAACTTTACAGTTTCTATAGTATCACATCCATCTCATTGGCATTTAATAATTTCTGACTCTTCATTGTGAGTTAAATCTCTCTTTTTTTTTGGCCATTTTACCTGTAAAAGAAAACCTGCTCAATAATTATGCACAACTTCCAGCCGTAGTTAACAATTATATATCACTTCATGTGGTTTAAAATTGGTCAAATGTCCAAACACAATTGTCATAAATTACACTTACTATCCATTGGCACTGTTTTCCGAGGTATGTTATTCGATGTCTGTCCCTGTCCACTGATCAACGTTGCTGGACTCCAGACGTACAACACACACATAACAGCCAGCAGAAACATCATTCAGTGTTCCAGTAAAAATAAATAAATAGTCCGTGATTTTGGTCTAGAAGACTGTGCGAAATGCTAAATTCCTCTGTTGTCTGTCTGTCAGAGTTTTCTCATCCTTGCTTCTCCTCTGCTTCAGTCCGGAGCTCTTCCATACTGAGATATATGACTTAAACTGCAAAGAAGGATCTTCAGAGAAGCAGCGAAGAACGCTGTGAGGCCATCTGAAAGAGAGAGAGAGAGAGGTGAACAGGCAGGGGTGCTGGCAGCCGTATTTCTGTCACTGCTTTAGTGATGCTAATGAGGAGGATGAAAGCTTTTGCTCTAAGACCATGACAGAGACACACGGTTCTGCTTTCCGTGCAACAGAATGACACAAAGCCACAACAGCTCACCGAAAGACACCCACCACATCCTGATATACGTCATAGAAACCCCCCCATAAAATCTAGCTTCATAAGTGAACCCTCACGAATTCACAATCTGAAAAGTTTAAAAGTCTCGTTCAGAGCAATACGCTGATAAAAAAAAATCTCAAGACATGTTAATTGTCATAAAGCTGGTGTTACCTAACAGATGTTATGAAGAAACAGGAAGAATCAGAAACCATTTTGTAACCTATGTAGTTGCTAACTACACTGTAAAAATACATGTTTTACAAGTAAATAGTACGTCAAGCTCCGTCTTTCTAATCTAAAATTTCACATTATGTGTTATTTGACGTTTCTTTGTAAATATTTGCAAAAAAAAAAAAAACAAATGAGAAAATCTTATTTTCTAGGTTCAGGGTGAGTTATGTACTAAAGAAAATGTAAATGCGTGAAAGTTTTGGGTTTCAACCAGCTCTGACTAGAAAACCATATCCTGTCCTAATGAAAACAAAACCACAAAGGCCCGGTTGCACAGATAGGGCTTAAATTTAGACCGGATTAGTCCTTAGTTCAATTAGGGCATTTAAGTAGCTTTTATAAACGTGCCTTTGAAAAAAAAAGACTTTACTGGTGTACATCTCGAGACAAAACAATGACCCTGGTATATTTTAAGATATCTCGGTGCAAGTTGCTTTCAGTTAAGACAGCTCAAACATGCATTTAAACCTTGTCTGTGAAACCATGGGGAAATGACTGCACCCTCAAAACACCACCTCTGGAAACCCTCAACATCCTGAAAACACAAGTGCTCATTGGTGCATTTTAATACATGGGTACAACAGCATATATTTATAACATTGCTGACTGACAGCATGATTATGCCATTTTATAGGTGATGAGCTGTAGCATGTGCTATCTGATCAGATAGCACTCATATTTCACTAGAAACATACTTCTAAATCATCGTGGGGACTACCTACCCTACTAGCTTCTATAGGCTCTATGCACGGCGGTATTTCCGGTGAAGATATAAGGATGCTCGATAACTTCCGCCGATCGTAGAGTCCAATGCAATACCGAGAATTTATATTGGATTTTATACTCCATGGTTATAATAAAGAAACGTTAGTCACAAAAACAGATAAAACAGACACCCCTTGTTGTGTTTATGCTTCTTTTTAAAATTATATTAAATAAACATTACTATATATAAAATTACATCTAAACGTATGTACGTTTCGTTTCAAAGACGGGAGGACAGTAAATTTTGAAGACTCTGCCATAATCCCGTTTTCCTCGGTTCTCCTCCGCTTAAATCTCCACAACCGGAAATGGACGAGCATCCTTGCGTCAAATGCGGAGCTTATGCGTGCATATAGCCCATTAAAGGCTCATCATTACCACCGGCTAACAGACTACAAGCCAAAAATTAGGCTACACCTTTTGGGGAATTTTAGATAAAGTATGAGTCAAATATTATTTAATCCCTTAAATGAATCTTTTTTTTTTTTAGTCTAAGAACACCCACATAAGGAAATGAACTACTTAACATTTTCAGAAAGCGTGCAGGTTAGCTCAACCTGACCCCAAACAGGTTTCAGAGTGTCATGTCTTACATCAAAACATCATGAAGAGAGGCATCATGTATGGAAGCTTGTTTCCGCCACTGAATAAAAAAAAATTAATAATAATAATTGTGACTATTTATCTCACAATTGCGAGATATGAAGTCAGAATTTCGAGATATAAAGTCACAATTCTGAGAAATAAAGTCGCAATTGCGAGATATAAAGTCGCAATTCTGAGAAATAAAGTCTCAATTGCGAGATATAGTCACAATTCTGACAAATAAAGTCTCAATTGCAAGATATAAAGTCGCAATTCTGAGAAATAAAGTCGCAATTTTAAGATATAAAGTCACAATTCTGAGAAAAAAAGTCTCAATTGCAAGATATAAAGTCGCAATTCTGAAAAATAAAGTTGCAATTTTAAGATATAAAGTCGCAATTATGAGACAAAGTCGGAATTGGGAGAAAAAAAGACAGAACTGCGACTTTTTATCTCACAATTCTGACTTTTCTCACAATTTCGAGTTTATATCTCGAAATTCTGACATCTTTTCTCACAATTGGGAGATATAAACTCGCAATTGCGAGTTATCAGGCAAATTCTAAGGGGAAAAAAATACATTTTTTTTAACTCAGAATAGTTTAAACCTCACAATTCTAACTTTACAACATGCAATTTCGACTTTATATCATGCATTTCTGACTTTATAACACAGAAATGCGAATTTATATCAATCAATTCTGACTTTATATCTCGCAATTATTTTCTTTATAACACACAAGAATTGTATTTTGGATGCAATTAATCGCGATTAATCGTTTGACAGCCCTATTGCAAATTATTTAACTCAAACTTTCCAACTTGTATATTTTAGTTTAATTAATAAAGTTTAAATAATCCAATACAATCCAATAAATTTCTTTAGGCTTTATGTCAAATGTCACGTGAACAAACAGAAAAAGGCCTCATCGTATTCGCTAGTGTTATCAACATGAAGGCGATATCTATGGACTTTTAACGCTAACCCGTATAAAACAGGTTTCCCCAAGTATTTCCCTGTCTCTGCCATTGTTCGAACAAGCAAACGTTGCACCTCCCCAAAACACACCAATGGTTGAGACAATGCTGCAATGCTTTGATAGCATGACAAACTCAAAGTATTAACACGTTTGGGGAATTGGCCTATAAATGCAGTTGATTTGAATCTGCATATTAAATTGAAATATTATAAAATGTGTATACTTTACAATTATATAAAGCTTCTTTATGACCAGAATGTAGACAAAACTGACAAATTGCATCATAGTATTTCCATTTAAACACCATTTTTTGTACAATACCTTGATGGTAATACCATGGTATTCTTACAGAGCTAATTACATTATTGTTGTTAACTAGAACTAAAACAGTTGACATGTCTTTTGTTAATTTCAATAAAGCTATAGCCTATATAGTTACCTCTTACACAGAAGTGTAAACAAATCAGCTGTTTCTCTAACATTACAGTTTTGGTCTCAGTTCCTCTGAAAATAAGTTTTGTGGAAATTGCTGAGATGTGTGTGAGAGGATCAACTCACCATGCAACCGAATTCTGCTAGTCTCTCAGTTGTCCTGCGCTCGCATGAGTGGCTCCTCTTCGCACACACAAAAACTGCTCCAGTCCTCCCATAGAAAACAAATCAATGTGGTCTAAGTGCCAGAGACAGCAGAAAGTATGTTGTGAGTCGTGGCTCTGCAGTGAATGGAGCTCATGGTGTCTGCTGCCCTGTGTGAAAGAGCATTAAACTTCTCAGATCCTGCAGCGTAGATTCAAAGACATTCTTCTGCTGGAGAGAAAAGAGAGAGAAAAACATGCTTTTAGAAGCTCTTCAATCTCAACAAGTCACTACAAGTGTCAGCGTGTGCGTGTGTGTGTGTGTGTGTGTGTGTGTGTGTGTGTGTGTGTGTGTGTGTGTGTGTGTGTGTGTGTAGGAGAGCCTACTGTGCTCTCAAAGATATGATTTTCAAGAAACCCAAGTTTGCTGTAGTAAACAAAAGGAGAAACCAATGTTTTGATTTTTTTTCAGATATACAACACAGTTTCAAAAGACATTTTTCATTCATACTGCAGAAAAAAAACCAAGACGTATCTCACCTCAGAATCTTTGTAAGAGTCATCGGGACTTGTGCTGTAATCTAAACTGTTTTTAATGTTCATAATGACAAATTGTTTCAATTTAAATGTTCACAATAACTTGAAATCCGGATGAACTTGTTCTGTTGGCACTATACGCTGGATCATGTTTCTTAGCTTGCATATTCAGTAACGTAAGCTATCTCTCACTAACACCTCAAAGACAAATTTATTTTAATATGGAGGTAACTTGCTAAACCATGTTTACCAGTATAACGTTATTTTACTGTATTTGAGGACATTTTTCAAATCTGGCCCTCGATCACATTAAAACACTCAAATAGGGCTGATTAACCAGCACTCATTTCAACGTTTAACGTTACTCACGGGTGAATCAACATAGTTGAATAGTTGAATTTTGCCAATCGAATTAAGGCTGATATTTCTGATTTAACTTTAATTCAATTTAGAAGTAACATTATTTTGTTAACATTTCACCAACTGAAATTATTTTAATCCCAATTTGAACATTGAAGCGCTAGCGATGCATCGGCATGTTCAGTGTTAAAAAAAGACTTTATTCAGCATCCAACTACAACTAACAGTTAAATCAATGCAATTACATTTGTGTGTTAGAAACTTTGAAGGGAACAAAATGGTGAGGTAAAGTCAGCTCCGCCTCCTGGTGGTCAGTCATTACGCGGCTAGGCCTTTAAATAAATAAATAGTTACATGGACATTAAATATCTGAGTTTAATCATTCACTTGTATGGCCTAGAAGTATTTAAGTCTCCTCTAAACGCGGCCCATTAGACACATTTATCCCAGAAACAACACTTTCTTTTGAAGTTCTTTTGTAGATGTTTTTAGTCGTGCTTAACTAGTCACTATTATGAAATTCTAGCAAAGCAAAAAGGTTTCTCCTCACCATTGAATGCTGATGTCCTCCTTTTTGTCAAAACTGTTAGTACCGTTTTCAGTGGCAAGATGGCGGCAATGAGCTGTTCTTCTAACCGACGTTTGCATTAAAATAATGCCGCGGACAAAGGATAAGTTAGACGCAGTCCATGTTGTCGAATTTAAAACTATAACATCGGATGAATTGTATAAAACCTTCCCTTTAATTCCCATACATATCACAGTTATAAATAACAAGAAATAAGTTTAACATCACATGAAAACAGATATCTACAGAGTCACAGTAGCACCATGCATGTTCATAAAACTGATAATGACAGTTGGTTAACCAGGAACACAAATGCAACAATTTCACAACCTATCCCTAAACGCTTACAAACCATACTCGCTTCTAGAAGGCTGAATTGTACTTTATATTCATTACCCCCCTTTTTTTTTTCCTCAATTTTTTCAATTTACCTTTTTTTTTCAAAGCAAAAACCTGCCTCATAATCCTGTTTCTCCTGCAAATGTGTCCAAAATGAGCGTCATTCAAATTTCAAAACACACAGACACGCGGAAGCAGGGTCAAAAATTAACTTTTGCCACTCCTCTCAAAATGTAAGGCCATATTTCTTACTGGACATGAAAATACATTATATATAATGTATATAATATTTTTTATATATTTTATTTTCAGTAGCCTAATGTCAAGTCAGTGTGGGTCAGTTTTACAATTCGATTTAAATCATGTATTATGTTCATATTTCTGTTTTTATTTCCATTATAGTAGCTCAAACGGTGCTAGTCATGAGTTTGAATTCCAGGGAATGCATGAACTGATTCAATTTAGGCCAAAAGCAATACATATTTGTCCAATTATATTTGCATTTGGCAATGGGACGTGCTAATTTTGGACCGTGCCCCGAACAACACCATATTCACATTCATCTGTGCATATCCAGTTCACAGTAGGTGCTTGATTGAAACCAGATTAAGTCCTGTGATGTGCTTCTTTCTTAAATGTGTGGGGAAATGTCCTCTTGACTCTTGGTTTTGTCATTACAAACCGGAGTGTAAAGGTCTTATTAATTAAATAGAGAGAGAGAAAGAGATATAAAGAATATTGGCTCAGATTTTCCCCTTTTTAATTTTCTGTAATCTCAAAGGAACACGCGACATTGTATGACAGCCTATCATGAGGCAGGACAAGCTGGTGGACTTCGGCTCTCGTGTTATTAATAAAGTGGCATTGTTTAAGACGTCACGCTGAGGGAAGAATGTCGATTAGAGGGAGTCCTTGTTCCTTCAACAGGACATCAGTCTTTATTGGAAGGCACTGGAAGATTGAGACGGCGAAGAGTGGGCAGAAATGAGGAGGAAATCAATCTTGACTAGTCCGTCTCTTCTCCAGCTTCTGTTTAAGCTCGTCTGTGAGGCCTGAAGGGAAGAGAGTTTCCTAGTCATACATTAAATATCCAGTCATATTTTAACCCTCATGTTCGGTTAAGACTGATTTTACTTTCTGTATGTTTGGGGTCCCAGAGAATCTAATGCACATAGGGGAAAAATATACATTACTGTTCAAAAGTTTCATATCTGTTTTTTTTTAAATGCTGGAGAAAAAAAATGCTCTTAATCTCACAGAGGCTGCATTTTCATTTATCAAAATATAGTAATAGAGTAATATTGTGAGAAAAAAAAAATTAAATTTAAATAAAAATTACAATTTAAAATAACTGTTTTCTGTTTCAATATATTTTCAGGTATAATTTATTTCTGTGAATTTTCAGCATCATTACTCCCGTCTTTAATGTCACATGATCCTTCAGAAATCTTTTTTTTTTTTTTGGGAAACCATCAAATATATTACAATTCTTTGGTGAATAAAAAAAAAACTCATAAAAAGAAATTTATTTGAAATAGAAATATTGTGTTAATAAACCTCTCAAATGTCATTTCTGATCAATTTAATTTATCCTTGTTGAATAACAGAAAATCATATCATCCTCAAACTTTTGAACAGTAGCGTGTAACTAAATAAATAATTATATATATTTACAAAAAATCACCTACATACTAATTGTTATAATCATATTATTGAGATTATTATTCATCATATTATTGATATTGTTTCTTACCAGCCAGGTCAATTTAAAGAAAAAATACAATAAAATTCAGAACCCAAAACAAGTTCTTTGGAGGGGTTAAAAGTGTCTCTTACTCTGAGAGAGAGGCGAGGGAGACAGAACCAGTCTTCTCATGGAGTTGGATGGAGAGCCAGATGGGGAAAAGGATCGTGTTGAGGGACTGGGAGATCTCGTCTGTGACCGCAGCGTCCATCTGTCTGTACCTACTGAAAATAGACCGGGTGTACTGTATATTGATCTCAATAAAAGCATTCACTAAATTACTAGAACACATTGACGTATAAAGTATGTGCTGTCCTAGATCTAGTGTTCACACAGCTTTTCACAGTGTAATGCAATTCCAACAACAAGCCACAAATTGCTCAAACACACAGATTGAGACATGTTTCATACTTGTGCAGCAAGATTCATTACAGCATCCAAGTGCAACTGTTCCTGCATGTTGTTTGGCAGGGGCATTGCAGCTGATATAAGAAATGATTTATTATAAAAGGATAATAACACAAGGGGTTTGGACCTAAACAGCAGCAGATGTCGTCATGTGAAGCACGAGATGTGTGGTACCTTGTTTCCGGGGCAGTGATGGAGCTCGAGAGAGAGGTCCAGTGGGAGCACAGTGCAGGGTTCGCTCTCCATTCTCATCATTGGATGACACAAACGCTACAGGAAAAGGAAATTCAGATGATGAGTTCAGAGCAAAGCAAACTAAGTGTTGTGTTATGGCCCAGTTTAGCATTGTGTGCGTGACATACTGATGTTCTCCTCATAAGGCTCCTCTAATATGAAGGGCTGAAGAGTCCCGGCCGTTTTTTCCACGAGTGCATTGATGACATCATGCAGTGTGGGACAGGGGATCTGGAGGAAGAGGCCAAACAATAAGAGGAGGAGTGAGATTTCCCCAAGGTTGATGTTTTCAGTTTTCCCCTTAATTGAGAAAGTCATTTTCACATACTGGGTTTTCCACGTCGATGATGTAACCACCCTGCTGCTTCTGTGTCACTCTGTAATGCCTGAACACTGATCTGAAAAAGAAGACAACACAACGGCTCTGTTGTAATCATATTAGGCCGTTTATCCCTAAAACCATATTCTGGACAAATGTGGGCAAAAAAGTTTATTTATTTTTAAAAAATACTAAGCGGTACAAGACTTGGCTACTTTTCTTAAGTTTGCCTCCTGAACACACTTTTTTTTTTTTTTTTAACTCAATTCTACAATGTTTAGTGGGTGAAAAAAAACTCTGTAATCTTGTATTTGGGTCAAAAATGGGCACCCATAGAAATGAATGGGGAAAACTGTAATTTAGAGCATTCTAAAATAAGCCAAAATAAGACACCAGGTGGCAGCAAAGTCACTTCATCTTTAGGTTTTAGCTCTAAGAACTTATTGGAATGATATTTTAATGTAGTTAAAAAAATAAAACATAAAATAAGCATAATTTACATAGAAAATATGGTACTTTTTGAAGTAAATAAATTCAAAAATACCCCCAAAATAAAAAAAAATCACCATAAATGGATAGACAAAACTTTATCGAAGACAGTGATATAACATTCATAATAAATAAAAATTAGGATCACGCCCGAGTCCTCTGTGCCCACATTTGTCCATGATTACAGGATTAAGGGCTATAGAGTGAATACGGTTTGAGGGCTACAATGACTTGGTGCAGTGCGTTTCTTAACTGACACTGCAAATAAATACATTTTTCGTTAATTTGGGGGAAAAAAGCTGAAATGTTTTGTATATTTTATGCTCCATTGGAATTAAGAGTCCAGTCTCCTGTGCGCTACACTTCATGATGAACACTATTTGCGTTTAGTGTGCAGAGCTGTTGTATATAAATATCTCGAATAATTCACTTGTGATGTTCCATCTGGTTTAGGATGCTGCTTTATAAGCAATGTAAACAGTAGACAGCAAGGAGGCTTACTAAGTTTCAGATCAGAGCTTAGAACTAGTGTATTTTTGAAGGTTAAATAAAAACAGAGAGAGTTTCAGTGTTTCTACCCGTTCAGGTCTTGTCGTGTGGTGACAGCGAGTGAAGATCCATCCCGGCCCGGTCTGAGTAGCATGTTCCCACAGTCCGGATGTCTTTCTAACAGCACCTCAGCTTCAGTTCGAGACACAGGCCTGAAACACCTGCCAAATAACACACACAAGAACATATTTGTCTCAAGTATCCACTAAGAATGACATTATTGGTTAAATAAGTAGAAGATTTTGGGAAAGGTTTGTGCTTTTAATCCAATTCCTGTCAACAATATCAAGTCTAAAAATGTTCAAAAAGGCTAAAAATAAAAAGGGTTTTTGTAATGCCTAATAAGAACTGAAACCTTAGTAACCTTAGTGTCGCATCTAATAAAAACATGTTAACGGCTGTAGCAATGGATGAGAAGTTATGAACACCACATCAACCACACCATAGGCTATACCTCATAAAATAATGATATAAAACACTGTATAAACATTAAACCGTCTAGTTTGGCTGCATTTTGTAGTTCTGAGAAATGCCATGTAATATAAGAATCACACGGAAGAGATTTTTTTTATTGTTTATTTTTATTCCTGGCTAGATCACTACGGAAGCGTATTACATTCACTTGAGGAAACAGAATCTACTCTGTTTTTCTGAATTAACGAGTTAATTATCTCAGAATTACGAGATCATTTTTCATGGAAAGAGTTTTTACTCTGTTTTACTGAATTAATGACTGGATTATCTAAAAAATTATGAGTAAGTTATTAATTCATAAAAACATTAAAAAAATGTTTTTCAAGAAAATCTCAATTCTGAGATAATTTCATAAAATGAAATAAATTATCATAAAGAAAGATAATTCTAATAAATTCATAAAACAGAGCAAAACCCTTTTTTTCCATGAAAACTTCTCTCATAATTCTGAGATAATTAACTCATTAATTCATAAAAACAGAGCAAAACATTTTTTTTTCATGAAAACTTCTCATTATTCTGAGATAATTAACTTAAATCAGAAAAACGTTAAATCAGAAAAACAGAACAACACATTTTTCCATGAAAAATTCTCTCGTAATTCTGAGATAATTAACTTGTTAATTCAGAAAAACAGAGCAAAAACCTTTTTTACACGAAAAATTACCTCGCAATTCTGAGATAATTAACTCGTTAATATAAAAAAAACAGAGCAAAAACATTTTTCCATGAAAAATTATCTTGTAATTCTGAGATAATTAACTTGTTAATTCAGAAAAACAGAGCAAAAACCTTTTTTACATGAAAAATTACCTCGTAATTCTGAGATAATTAACTCGTTAATTTAAAAAAAACAGAGCAAAACATTTTTCCATGAAAAATTATCTCGTAATTCTGAGATAATTAACTTGTTAATTCAGAAAAACAGAGCAAAAAGCTATTTTACATGAAAAATTACCTCGTAATTCTGAGATAATTAACTCGTTAATTTAAGAAAAAACAGAGCAAAAACATTTTTCCATGAAAAATTATCTTGTAATTCTGAGATAATTAACTTGTTAATTCAGAAAAACAGAGCAAAAAGATTTTTTACATGAAAAATTACCTCGTAATTCTGAGATAATTAACTCATTAATTCAGAAAACAGAGCTAAAACTTTTTTTATTGTTCAAGTGAATGCAATACGCTTCCGTAAGGTCACGGTGTAAATCTATTAAATATTTTGTCGTTTTTTTTATCACGTAGGCAAAAATCGTTCACGTTCCGAAAAGCAACACTAAAAGGGCAGTAGCAAGAGTGATGTTTTAGCAATGGATAAACACAGAGACGTTCAAGAATGTCATCTCAGACTCTCTCCACAAACACTCTCGCTCAGATAAACAGAAACTCACGCAGGTATTTCCCCCACCAGCGGGAGCGAGAGGGGGGATGAGGGGGCTCTGGAAGACGCACGTGCCTTTCGACGCATCTTTTCTTTCTCCACGACTTCCTTCAGCATGTGCAGCTGCCCGGGCAGGAGGGTGAGAGTCGTGGGCACGGCCAGCTGGAATCAAAACGCAAAGCATACGTCACTCTAATTTTCACGGGTAAATACATAGTGCACGGGGACTCTGATCCCTTTATCTATAAAAACAGGCAAGCAGCGTCACTAAAGAAACGAGCGGGAGGTGTTTCAGGGTGTTGTTTTAAACGGGATTGATGTAAAGCCAGATGTTTTTTGGTCCAAAAAAAGAAAGTGATTCATTTATTCCTGGTTCACCCTGTCATTTTTAGGCTACACGACATGTATATTTTGCGACAGTTGTTACCAAACAATGACTGTGTAGCTTCTCAGAGGTCTTAGTTCATTGTTCAAAATTTGAATAATGGACAGAATGAGACCTCTTAAAAGCTACACAGTCATTGTTTGGGATGTTTGAATTTAAAATGCACTAAGAGAGTAATCACTGTTTGTTTCTATCGAACCACACCAGCCAAGTGTGAACACACCCTTAAAGGAGTAGTTCCCTTTTAAAAAAACTTTTGCTGATAATTTACTCACCCCCATGTCATCCAAGATGTCCATGTCTTTCTTTCTTCAGTCGAAAAGAAATTAAGGTTTTTGATGAAAACATTCCAGGATTGTCTCCATATAATGGACTTCAATGGGAACCAAACGGTTCAAGGTCCAAAAGAGAGTTTCAGTGCAGCTTCAAAGGGCTTTAAACGACACCAGACGATGAATAAGGGTCTTATCTAGCGAAACGATCGGTCGTTTCAAAAATAAATAAAAAAGTTTAAGTTTTATAATCAAATGCTCGCCTTGCTCTGTTCTGTGATGCACGTTCGTGACTCTCCTGTTCAAACTCGTTCATCAATATGAACGAATCTTTTTTCGAGTCATTTCGTTCTTCGAAGTCCATTATATGGAGAAAAATCCTGGAATGTTTTCATCAAAAACCTTAATTTCTTTTCGACCGAAGAAAGAAAGACATGGACATCTTGAATGACATGGGGGTGAGTAAATAGCCCATTATATTCATGTTTTATTTCCCTTTTCCTTTTGTTACATCAACTCCATTTATTGTCTAAAGTCCAAATAAAGTGGTTTAATTATTAAACACACAACACAATGAATGATGTCCAACCGCAGTGTCAATAAACAGAGCAACTCAGTCAGTTAGATTTTCCATTGTGTAGTGATTACACGTTATGTAAACAATCATTAAAATGTTTGTACATCTTATATGATGTCATACAATTTCCAGAATTGTTATTAGATATAAACAAGCATTTAAAAGTTTGAGGTCCGTACAATATTTAAATGTTATTGAAAATCTCACAAGGCTGCATCTACAGAATTTGAATCAAACAAATACTGTGTATGAACTGTGTAAAAATACGTTATGATAGTAATCATATTATTACTATTTAAAATAACTGTTTTCTTTCTGACTATGTTAAAATGTATTTTTTTCCAGTGATCAAAGCTGAACTTTCAGCATTACAGTCTTCAGTGTCACATGATCTTTCAGAAATCATTCTAAAATGCTGATTTAATGTTCAAAAAACATGTATTATTATTATTATTGTTATTATCAAAGTTGACATGCATTTGTGCTGCTTAATTTTTGTGAAAACCTTTCTGTAACATTAAAAATGTCTTTGTTTGTTCACTTTTGTCCAATTGAATGTATCCTATTTCTTTCTAAAAACAAAAAACACCAAATCCATCCCAAACTGAAAGAAACAACAGTATCAGCTGCATTCCTGGAAACTGCTCATAAATCTCTAAACCCTCCTGCAGTTCAAAGGTCTCAGATCTTAACCAGCTCAGAAAAGCAATATTATTCAAGACTGTGCAAAAAAAAAAGTCTGATCCAAATTCATAGTTCTGCAGGAGGAGCTGTAAGTGTTTATTGACATGCACACAATACAAAAAACAAATACTCATTTGATTGAACTCACATCTACGACAGAGTAGAGAAATCCTTTCCACAGCTCACGTGCCTCGAGATTTGGTGCCTAAGAGGAAAGAGAGAGAGAGACATATTAGCATTAATTATATTATTAAGTCATATAGTATCTCACAGCCAATTAGATCTCCATTACATTTATTGATTATCCAAGATGACTTACAAAGGGGCGATTCTAGGATTTTCCTTTTAGGGGGGCTTAGCCCCCAATGAAGGTATGATTTAAAAAAAAATTAAATAAAAAAATAAAAAAACAAAGCAAAAGTTTAATTTAGGGTCTAATGCTCACTTTCATTACCATGCAATTGCAGGGTTTTAAAATCACTGTAGTCCTGGATTTGAGTTGTGGTAGTTGGGGGGGATTTGGGGTTTCCCCGAGAAAATTTCGAATTCTCTGAACTATTATGTCCATTATAAGATGTTTTGAAGGCATTTTTTTTGTTTTTGGATAAAACCATGTCAGTGGGCAGCTAATTATTTTTCTCTCCTCATCATCATCACCCTCTTTTTCTCTTTGTTTTTCTCTTGCCCTGTCTCTTCCCCCCCTAAAGTTGAGCTTTGACTGATAATAGGCTTTTCATTAAAAAAAAAAAAAAAAGCACACTTGGGATATGTATTATATTTTCAGTATGTACACATTTATTATTAATCATGTACCTTACATGATGAAAACGGATTTGTTAACGTTTCTTGTCTCACAATGACAGTAAACGAATTATTACATTAGGCTGACGTTACATGCCTAATTTCAGTTCAAAAGGGCGAAATTAGATAAAACTATATTAGTTTTCCTGATTATTTTTTATCATTCATTTAACATTCATGACCTCAAAAAACTGTCAAATATATAACGTTACAAGTTTAGCTACTTACATCTCGCACTTATATCTCGCACTTGCCCATGCACTGAAGTCGAGTCGTGCTGCTAAAATTCGCGCTCAGCTTCTGTCAATGTACTGTAAAGCCCGCCTACTTTGATTTGATTGGTCATCTCAAATATTCTGACATTGACGAGCAGTGACAGACCAATGGGCTCAGATGAACACACGCACAATTTCCTCTCTTTTTGACGGATTTAAGATGTAGAACGCGCTGAATCTGATTAAAACAAGACTGAAGCGAACACGAATTTGTGTAGCATATTAATCACAAATTTTTAGGGGGGCTAGGCCTAAAAAGGGCCTAGTGACGCCCCTGCTTACAAATGAGGAAACCTACAAGACATAAGTATTTGTGAAATGCATTTTCCCAGAACTTTTATTTATGCATTTCGTTGAGGTATGGAAGGGCTGCGTATTGGCTTTGTAAGAGGAAGTATCAAAGTACAGTGTCAATGTCGGGGAAAGTGTTTTTTTGCCTCTTTCTGTTGCTAATCTCTTCACAATCTCTCTAGTCTAGCAGACCTCTGATCAACCCTCATTCCCAACGCTAAATAAACCAAGAGTTTCCTGAGCAAAGACTACAGTACATTCAACGTCTGATAGTGATCCTGCGCTGTTTAGTCTTGACCTGACCATAATATGACTTGGATCTGCCTGGAAGTGTTATTACTGGCATCAGATGTGCTGAGCATAAACAAGAATACAATCATGGTCCATGAAACCAAAACTCTCTATAGCGTGCCGAAAGGTAAATTCTGTATGGAGAAGAATGAAAATCAGAGTCTGATGGGATTGAGACGTATTTTGTAAATTCAAAAGTTACTTTCAAAAGTAATCTGATTACATCACTTGCATTACTTGTAATGCGTTACACCCCCAACACTGTGTAGAATATACATGATCAGGCATTCTGTGAGCGATCTGTGGGTGTGAGCCGAGATTAAGAGCATGAGATGTGTGTGTGTACTCACAGTGAGCTTGATTTCTCCATCCTTCATGCGGAGGTTCAATCTGGCTGCTTCCAGATTCCTATCTCGACTTGGGTCATCGATCAGAGACACGAACCCACTCAGATCCAACTTCTCTACATACTATTTAGAAAACACACATACAGAGCGACATTTAAGGGAACAATTCAACCACAGACTGACTTCTGTGAAACACAAAAAGATGACAGAATGCCTAATGTCAATGATTTAATTATCATTTTAAACAGCAATAAAGTGTTTTTTTATGTTGAATATTCTTATTAAAAAACAAATATTTTTATTTTACTATTATTTAAATTTTATATATATATATGTATGTATTAGGGCTGTGCAAAGATTCATTTGCGATTAATCGCATCTAAAATAAAAGTTTGTGTTTACATAATAAGTTTGTGTTGTGTATAATTATTTTGTATATATATATACACTCTAAAAAATGCTGGGTTGTTTTAACCCAACTTTGGGTCAAATATGGACTAACCCAGCCGTTGGGTTAAATTTTTACATTACATTTTTAACCCAACATTTCGGGTTTGTCCATATTTGACCCAAAATTGGGTTAAAACAACCCAGCATTTTTTAGAGTGTATATATAAATACACACACTGCATGTATATATTTAAGACAATGTTTTATTCATATATAAAATATGTATATTTATATATAATATAGATTATGAATTTATATATACAGTATTTACGTGCAAATAATTCTTAAATATATACATGCATGCATATGTATTTACATACAAAATAATAATACACAGCACACACACATATATGATGTAAACACAAACTTTTATTTTGGATGTAATTAATCGCAATTAATCTTTGCACAGCCCTAATATATATATATATATACACACACATGAATAACTATATTATCAATTGCAATAATTAATAATTCTATTTCACTGTAAAATAAAAATAATAATAAATAATAAATAAAATAATAAAACAATAATATATTTGCAATTAAGTGTTAAACTATAGCGCTTTAATTTTAAAAAGAAATTATTTTAAATAAATATTTCTAAAAATGCTGCAAATTTCCCCCTCACATGGGACACACTTTTCAGGTTGAAAACTACGTATGGTAAAAATAAAAATGATATAAATACATAAAAATCACATCCCTGCTTCTGAAGCCATAAAACAGCTGTGTATGAATCCATCTGAGAAGAATTTTAGTCAGTGTTTACTGGAAAACACCAGCTCAGACATTCTGCCTAACATCTCATTTTGTGTTTCAAAGAAGAATGATATACATGTTTGGAATGGCATGAAGGTAACATTCAAGGACACAAGGAAATGGTGATAACATTTCCGTTTAGAGGTGAACTATCCCTTTAAAATTAAAAACAACTCAGAATAACACAACAGAATCCCAGGGAAAGCAAGAACTGATCAAACGTGATGTGAACCTTCAATGCAACACTCTGGATTAAAGAGTCTGCCAAAAGTATACGTGATCAGTAGATGGAAGCTTAAATCTGTGTCTGTTCTTGAGCAAACTTTGCATGTCACTTTCTCTTTTTCCCCGAGGTTATAGCGGTTGAAACTGCTATCTTGATGGGTTCAGAGTGAAAATCAATACTGAAACCACAATTAAGTCGAGTCTGATCAAACTCGTCTGCCTCCTTGCCATCTGCTCTCCCTCGGCTGAGAGCGCTTACGGAGATGATAAGGTTACGATGGACTCGAAGGGGATTTGCAGAAAACATCCATCTAGATCTCTCCTAATGCTCCGCAGATTGATAGAGGATTGTATACATCTGTATGGGTAACAAACCCCTGAATATGTCACTCACATGCGTGTCCTTAGTGTTGTTGAAGAAGTATAACGTGTTTCCACATAAACAGGTCCATAAACGACGAGCCACCTGCATCGAGAAAACACAAGAGCAATTACTCAATATGCTAAATAGTTTGATTTTATTGTACTATAAATAAAGAGACACTAAATCATCTCTCATTCATGAAGGTTAAATGTCTATTCGGATATCTAACACACAATGTTGACGTGGTAATGCTCTGGCAGTCGTCTCTGCATAGATTACCACTCTTCTGTCTGTAATTCTCTGCTCTGTCTGGCTCAATCCTGATCTCAGTGGCAGCTCTCCCCAGGGCACGGGTTTCACACACACACACACACACACGCCGGCCCGGAGCTCAGCTGTCCTAAATCTGAGACCCACCCCCTACACACACCCCCGTCACACACTGTGCACCTGAACCCCACTGAATTCCCTCCTGAATATATAATTGGCGTGTGTAGACCTCTTTGTCACCTTTTTTTTTTACTTTGGATAATATTTTACTTTAGCACTAATGTATTATATTATATTAGTTATATATATATATATATATATATATATATATATTTTATTTCTGTGTACACATATGCGCACATATGTGTGTGCACCCTAAAAAATGCTGGGTTGTTTTAACCCAATTTTGGGTCAAATATGGACAAACCCGAAATGTTGGGTTAAAAATGTAATGTAAAATTTAACCCAACGGCTGGGTTAGTCCATATTTGACCCAAAGTTGGGTTAAAACAACCCAGCATTTTTTAGAGTGTGTGAATATAAACATACACTCTAAAAAATGCTGGGTTGTTTTAACCCAACTTTGGGTCAAATATGGACTAACCCAGCCGTTGGGTTAAATTTTTACATTACATTTTTAACCCAACATGACCCAAAATTGGGTTAAAACAACTCAGCATTTTTTAGAGTGTACATACATATACACTCTAAAAATGCTGGGCTGTTTCAACCCAGATTTGGGTCAAAGATGGATAAACCCAAATGTTGGGTTAAAAATGCAATTAAAAAATTTACAGTTGAAAGTGAAAGTTGAAGTTGGGTTAAAATTTGAAATTACATTTTTAACCCAACATTTGGGTTTGTCCATATTTTACCCAAATTTGGGTTAAAACAACCCAGCACTGTTTTATATATAAATAACAATAAACAATCACAAATATATGTGTATAATATTTTACATTTTGTGTATGTATACATACATATATATTCCCCAAGTAAATACCTGAAACCCCTTTACAATTAGTTAACATTAATTATTGCATTACTAACATGAATTGGCAATGAGCAATACATTTATTACAGTATGTATTAATCTTTATTAATGTTAGTTCATACAATTTTCAGCTGTTCATTGTTTGTTCATGTTAGTTCACTGCCTGAACTATTTTGATTTTAATAATGTATTAGTAAATATTGAAATGAACAACTAAGATTACACTCTAAAAAATGCTGGGTTGTTTTAACCCAACTTTGGGTCAAATATGGACTAACCCAGCCGTTGGGTTAAATTTTTACATTACATTTTTAACCCAACATTTCGGGTTTGTCCATATTTGACCCAAAATTGGGTTAAAACAACCCAGCATTTTTTAGAGTGTAATAAATAATATTGTTCATTCTTACTTCATGTTAACTAAAATAAGTAACTAATGTTAACTAATAAACATTATTCATTTTTATATTAGAAACTTTTTTTTAGAGAAATCAAAATAAAATATAATTACATCTAGAATGCGTATTTGTATGGTTAGGATAAAATGCAAATAGAATGCAAAGGTTGGCTTGTAAATCATTTCTAATCTGCAGTATATTAACCAGATTAGTTTCTCAAAGTTGCATGAAACAGAATGAAACACTGGTAAGAGTCATGCACCACTGACGAAGACTCTCAAAACACTGAAATGTTCAATGATCTGTGGTATTAAACCACATTAGACAGCAGCAGAAAGCAGTGAACTCCATTAACGTGACTCGAAGAGATGTCTGAGAACGAATGCATGATTCATATTGAACTGATGCTGTATCATATTAATAACAAACACACTTTAGACTGCATGTGGTCCGCATTAAGGTGTGTCCACTAGCAGAGCAGCTGCCGAGAGTTTAAAGCACATAACAGGCAAAATAACAGCTCAAATATGAGTTATGGCATTTATAGAGCTGTCACACAGCGGCATACCACATGGCACACAGCAGCGTCAGCTCCTTCATCCATTAATGTTCAGTTCAAATGCAGAATCAACATTTGAGTGGTGACATGGCAAACTGATCATATTTAGACAGCTGATCCATGCAAACCTCGCCCATATCCACACAATATGCGCGTAATAACGCATGTGCCATGCGTCTCGTATGCCGCTGCGCGTGATGATATGATTAAATAAAGTATTTGACAACATGTCATAATGTCCGCTCACCTTCTCTTTCGCTCCTCTTTTCTCCAGGAAACCCTCGTAATAGCAGGGCGGCAGTTGCGCTTTCGGGCTCGCGGTGCGCGGGTTCGCGGGCGCAGCCGCCATGACTCGAGCAGCTCAGCCCGGTACTGTCACACACACGCGCACACACGCGCGCACACACACACTGAGAGGGACAAAGAGCCGCTGGATGATGTTACTGCCTAGGAAACGACACGCCCATTTTGGGTGAGAGATGGATGGCACTGGATATGCGTGATGAATCTCTCACTGACACGCATTCAGGGGCTCAGACACACACACACACACACACACACACACACACACACACACACACACACACACACTAGAGAGAGTCAATGTGGCATCTGGGATTACATTATGACCCGCAGGCTCCCGTAGGCAGGACAATCCTATTTTGTGGAAAGCATGAGGTTATAAATATAACACTGTTCATTTATTAATGTCTTTTTTGAAGAGAAGAGTCAATTCTACTAACTCAGTTGCTGTAGTATAGCCTATATTGTGAATAATATATAGGCTACAAATAATAAATATTGCCAATGTGTATACTACAAATGCATTTAAATATTAACTTAAATATAATTATAAAATATTTATAATATAAACATTGATATAGTAAACACGGCAATACTGTGAAATATTATTACAATTTTAAAATAACTTTTCTATTTGGTAGAAAAAATGTAATTTATTTCCGTGATCAAAGTTGAACTTTCAGCATCATTACTCCAGTCTTAAGTGTCACATGACCCTTCAGAAATCAGTCTAATATGATGATTCGCTGCTCAAGAACCATTTATTATTATTATCATGATTATTATTATTGAAAACAGTCGAGAATAAAAGTACTTTTTTGTAAAAAATAATATTTTAATTTAAAATGAATTTTAAATACAAATTCAAATGAATTTTAAATACAAATTCAAATGAATTTTAAATACAAATTCAAATGAATTTTAAATACAAATTCAAATGAATTTTAAATACAAATGAATTTTAAATTCAATTGAATTTTAAATACAAATGAATTTTAAATTCAATTGAATTTAAAATACAAATGAATTTTAAATTCAATTGAATTTAAAATACAAATGAATTTTAAATTCAATTGAATTTAAAATACAAATGAATTTTAAATTCAATTGAATTTTAAATACAAATGAATTTTAAATTCAAATGAATTTTAAACACAAATTCAAATGAATTTTAAATTCAAATGAATTTTACATACAAATTCTAATGAATTTTACATACAAATTCTAATGAATTTTACATACAAATTCAAATGAATTTTACATACAAATTCAAATGAATTTTACATACAAATTCAAATGAATTTTAAATAAAAAAATAAATTCATTTTAAATTTTAAGACAATTCATTTGAATTTAAAAATTAATTTTAAATGATGAACATTTTTAATAAAAATATTTCCAAAAACATGATTGCTGACCCCAAACAATTTAAAAATTAATTTGAAATTAATTATGAAAATTTTTAATAAAAAAAAAATTGATCAAATAAATCCAGCCTTGGTGAGCAGAAGACACTACTTTCAAAAACTTATGAACGGTAGTGTACATAAAATACACAGAAGTCATTTTCAAACCAAGCAGTTTTCTATAGGGCAATCAATGCAGCGAATTCGTGATCACTGATGCAGAATCTGTGAGGAAATGTTTCGCTCTCACACGAAACTTACATTCCTAAGCGTTCGGTGATCCTCTCTGTGCTTTTCATTTCACTCTCACACTCGGCGGTGAGAGAAACCCGCTAAAGAAAACAGACAACTACAGTTTCCACCTTTATTTAAAATGAAAAATATACAATGTTCCCTGCACATTTTTATAACAAAACATAAATCACAAATGGATTACGCAGGAAATACTGATTCAGAGAAGCAACACATGAATGTCATAAAACTTGAGGCCTAACAATGTCTACCAGGCACAAGCAAGGTTTTCCATTACATAAATACATTCTACCCATAATAAAATATTACTTTTAAATGTAGTGTGGGCAAAATCAGAAAGCATGTAATATACTGAGCAGCATTGAGAAACGTGCAAGCTAATATAGGGTTAACTCAGAGCAAGACTGAACCTGATACAAAAGTGATCTAACACACAGATGCAAGCAAAGCAATGCGTTTATTCAGTACTTTACAAAAGCTGGTCACAATAATGGTTTCGGGGTTACCTGACTTGACTAATTCAAATAAAAGAGAAAGAGGTCTGCTCAAATCATTTTGTGTCATATTTGTACGTTCACTCCAGAGTACATTACATGTATTGACGTATCACCGCATTATGATGCAAAACAATATACAATACGCTCTGAATCAGTTCTGATTTACTACTTTTACTACAGTAACTCTGGACAGATCAGTTTTCAATGGTCCCTCTTTTCATGATTCCAGCAACCGTTTACGATTGTAAAGAAAGCTGAAATATGATCATTAAGAATATGCCCTGATGATCTAAACCGGTCTATTTTCTTTATTTGGCATGCTGTTCAAAGATACAATCTAAAACTCTATTGAGCATCATCGTCATCCTAACCGTGTCCTTTAAAAAGTGGCAGTATTTAATTCCTTGTTCTACGGAGGCCCTGATGGGACATGGTGATGGAAACCAATATGAGATTGGAGGAAAGATCATACGTCAATGCGTTCTAGTTCTGCACTAGTTTTGCGAGGCAACACAAAAGCTTTGAAATCATTTTTTTTCCCCACCAAGTCCCTTTAAAGGGATAGTTCACTTTGAAATTAATTTTTGGTATGTTTTAGCTTACCTCAAGGGCATCCAAGATGTAGGTGTCTTTGTTTCAATTTTGATATTTTTATGTCAAACCTTGTTTGTCAGTCATATAATGGAGGTCTATGGTCACCACCTCAAAGAGCATGAACAGAGAAGTCCAGATTAAACTGATTTAATGACTCGTAAACGTAAGTACACATTGATGGCCTAAGACACGAAACGAGCGGTTTGAGTGAGAAAACAAACAGTATTTATATCGTTTTTACCTCTTGTAACCACAGCCACGTCCAAGTGATCTGAGGCCGCGGACGCTTCGGTCTGTGCAAGTGCCGGAAGTGATCTCTTTGGAAGTGAAGAAGAATTCGCACGAGCATACGTAATTTTTTTAAATTCTTACCTACAATTTTTGTTTAGTGTAAATGAGTGACGTACACGCGGGAGAGATCACTTCCAGGGGTTTTCGGCGCTTGCGCAGTCCGAAGGCTACCGCCCTCAGATCACTTAGAACATAAATATAAAAACAATATAAATACTTTTTTTTTTTAAATACTTTGTTTTCTCACACAAACCGCTCGTTTCGTGTCTTAGGCCATCAATGTGTACTTACATTTACGAGTCATTAAATCATGTTTAATTTGGACTTCTCTGTGCATGCTCTTTGAGGTGGTGACCATAGACCTCCATTATATGACTGACTGACTACAACGGTTTGGCCTAAAAATATCAAAATTGAAACTACTGCGGAAGCAAAGACACCTACATCTTGGATGCCCTTGAAGTAAGCTAAAACATACCAAAAATTTATTTCAAAGTGAACTATCCCTTTAAGGGCTCCGTAGCTGTTTAACTACAACTTGACATTTGCAGTTATTATAGAGTATATCTTCAAAATCATAAAGTATTCTACAAAGGGTTTAATAATGTCATTATTGAAAAGACTAACAAAAAATCTGAGATAAATACAAAAATATATCATGTAAACATTTGCTAGGTACAGTTTATCCACAGCGACTTTATAAATGCACGGTTTATAAATGCATTCTTAAGTCAACACTTTGTGCAACAATGTTTTTACCGAGAAATTTGCTGAATAATATGAATAAGTCCCTATGAGTTTAGCTGTACGGTAGGCCTAAAGCAAACACACCTTTCCCTGAGAGACAGAAACTGAACCAGGGTTAGCTAGAGGGAACTTCTGAATTCCCTTTTTGAGAAAGGGTAATAAAACCATAAACCCAGAAGACAAACAATCTGGGCTTAAAATCACAACGCTACGAGGCTTTAATGTGTCTTCCACAACAAAACGGTTCTCGAAAACACCAGTACGGCGCGGAAGAGGATTTATAAAGGTTCCTTTTTCCATAGAAAAGATCAGGAGGTGGAATCATGTGTAAAAAAGAAGAAAAGAAAAGCCAAACCAATTGTTATCGGAGGTCTACATAGATACAAACTGCCTCACAAACAGCTGGATTTACCGCATTTACATACTCATTTATAAATAGAATTGAGGATTTATAGGAATAGTTTTCTCTAATTATTAACTCACCCTCATATCCTTGCAAAACCTTATGCCTTTTCAGTGTAATGAAACTGAATATGTTTAGAGCAACATGAGGGTGAAAGCTAAATATTAGGTTCAGCTAAATATTAATTTCTATATTTAGATGAACCTAATCTCTGTTTAATGCTCATGCAAAGACAGTTTTTTTTTTTTTTTTATTAATGACCTCTTTTGTTTATTCTGAACATAACATTAAACTCAATGCTGACGAAATTATTAATGCACAGCATTTAAAGGGATAGTTCACCCAAAAATGTTGAACTCACCCTCAAGTTGTTTCAAACCTGTATGAGTTTCTTACTCCTCCAGAACACAAAAGAAGATATTTTATAGTATTTTGTATCATAGTATCTTGTTTTATGTAAAGAAATTCACAGGTTTAACAACTTGAGGGTGAGTAAATGACATATTTTCATTTATTGGGTGATCTATCCCTTTAAGATAAACCCCATACAACTAAAGCCAATGGGAAACGGTCAGTTCATCTTTCATCTGAATCAAACGAATTACCATGACCATAACAATTACATTATTAAATATAAAATCATTTCTATTCTTACAGCTGAGCTTTTCGCCGGTCAGAAAGAGCTGATCCCTGATTGGCCGGCGGATTATACATGGCCAGCCACTAGAGGTCAGTGATTACCAACAAAAGACATTTCTTATACAGTAAAGATGCACCTGAGTGCATTTGTAAGCAAGTAACATCATTATAGGAAACTGATATTAAAATAATATCCCTTGACTCTGGAATGAACACTCCCAAAACGGATTTATCTTTAACATACTTCTCAATGATGTTTATTGTACTTTAGGGTTATACAACGCTGGACCTCAACCCTATAAAAAAATACCCAGACACATACTGTATCTCTTTCAGGAGGTCAAAGTGCACACAGTGAAATACAAGTCACAAATCTTCCCCTTTTTTCCCTGTCTGTCTGTACCTGACATTGCACTGTCCCGTGCTGTTTTCTGTGTGTGTGAGATCAGTGCCGCAGGGGCACCATCACCTCCACGTAGTTACAGGGGAACAGTCCCACCTGTCCGCGCAGGCTTCCCTCGTACCAGTTCTCGTCGATCTGATTGGTCAGCGTGATGACGTCGCCCTCGTTGAAGCCAAGCTCTCCGTTGTTCTCCGGTTCAAAGTCGTACAAAGCCTTGCAGCACGGCTGATCTGTCGCTATGGAGACCAACGAATGTTTGAGAATAGAGAGGAGAAAGGGTGAAGATGCACACAGAGAGAAAGAGAGAGGAAAAGTTAACAGAAACATCAAAAAATGACAGAAAAATATAAATTAGTGGACTGATTATTGTAAGAACAGATGAGGAACAATAAATTCAATTCTTTAACTGATATTTTTTTTGAGAGAATATGGTGCACATTTTTTAAAATAAAATATATTCTATTTATTAGTAAAACTATATTTTATGAAGTTGTGCAACCATGTTATATAACTGCATTTTATAAAGCAGATTTGTGTCATTGTTAATTCTAGCAATAAACAAAGTAATCTTAATTCTACATGAATTAAAATGTTAAATTATAATATAGTAATACAAACAAAATGACCAAAAAAAAAAATCTAAATCATATTTTTTTTTTTTAAATAGTCATGTGTATTCATGTAATCTTAACAATATAATACTATAATAATACAATTCTAGGTTAAAAAGTTAAATAATAATATATTGTAATAAATAATAAAAGGTTGAATAAGTAATATATTGTAATAAAATATAATTCATACAAATAATAAAAAAAATTATTAAAAAATAAATTAAAAATTAGTACTCTATCTATCAATCTATCTATCTATCTATCTATCTATCTATCTATCTATCTATCTATCTATCTATCTATCTATCTATCTATGTGTGTAAACATGCATGCATACACACACACACACACACACACACACACACACACACATATACATATATATATATATATATATATATATATATATTACACATACATACATATATACACAGATACATGTATACATACATATATATATATATATATATATATATATATACATATACATATATATATATATATATATATATACACACACATACATACATATTTATATATATATATATAAATACAATATAATAATAAAAAAGTATGGTATCAAGGTTGAAAGTTCTTGGTTTGTAGTTATTAATAAACCTATATTTCCCATAAATTACAGAATTATTTTTCTTACACTAATCTAATGCAGTCAACACTAAAATTAGTGTAAAAAATGGAGAGTTGATGCGCTTTAAACTGGCTTCATTCCAAACTGTTACTTTTATGTTAGAAAACAGTTTCTCTCCCCAAAAGAACCAGGGATTGGAGCCTTTATAAGAATAAAATGAAATAAAAAGACAGCAATTTGTACTAAACTTGTGGAAAGAGCTAATGTGCTAAATTGTCTTTGATGAAAACTGACATCCACAAACATTTTTAGCATTTTAAGCACAACTACAACATTCATGCAAAGGTGTGCCTCAAGAAAGTTAAACGAATAGATAGATTTATTTAAAAAAGGACAGTTCTGCCACCTCCAAACATGCAGGCCACAAAAGGATCAATAGTAGCTCTCAAGCAATCCAAACTCACCGCACACAAGACAACAGGCAGATCACTATGTGGAACAGCAGCTTGTTTGTGTATGCGTGAGATGTTCAACAACTGGTTTTAATTCAGAACTTATTCAAGCTCCCTGCTAGATGATTCAACATAGGAAGGGAAAATAAATGTGTCAAACAAACAGCATCTCATTTACATGAGTGAACTGTCTGTGCTCATCACGGGTGTGTAATATGTGGGAGTGTAATTAGCAGGAGGGTGATTCACACCGCTCGGTTTCAATAGGGATTGAGGCTGGGATAGAGTAAAAGCCCTTCACCATGTCAAGTGTGTGCTTGTATGCGACTCACAATTACGTTTTTGCCGTGAAGATGTCCTGTTAAAGGAGGGGGCCGCTGACGTAAAAGAAAAACAATAGTCAGTCTCTGCATGGCCACACACACACACACACACACACACACACACACACACACACACACACACACACACACACACACACACACACACACACACACACACACACACACACACACACACACACACACACACACACACACACGGAGAGGCATCAAATACTCACATCTATCCACAACAACATGCATGATTGAAATTTCTTTATGCAGAGAATAACTAGGTGACCTTCTACACCTTGTGACATTTGCAAAAAATGTTCTGTATAATACAGAGCACTGAGAGAAATAATGTATCCCACAATGCAACACCAGTGTTGTTGGCTAAAACCTGAAATATAGTTACTGAAATATAGCTGAATTAAAATAAAAACATATGATGAAAAACTAAAATAATAAATGTTGCCTTGGCAACTACCTGAAATAATCTAGATGAAGTACTACAATTACTAATCACAAAACTGAAATAAAAATAAATATAAATATTAAAATCAAAAATGACAAAAGCCCCCCAAAAAACAAATAAATAAAAAATACAAAATAAATACATACATATAAAAAATAAATTAATAAACAAACTATAAATAAATAAAAATACATAAATAAATAAAAATAAATAAAAATAAAAAATATAAATAAATAAAAATAAATTAAAAAATGAACAAATAAATAAAAATAAATAAATAAATGAACAAATAAATATAAAAAAATTAAAACAATAAATAAATAAAAAATAAATAAATTTAAAAAATTTGACTCAATTTCTATGGCCCCATTAACACTGTTTGGTTCAAGTGACCCAAATGCAGGGTTGTTTCAGAAATAAATCTGTGTTTGAAGGCATTTTATATTATGGGGATATGTTGGTCCATTGGTCTTGGTTAACATGATTTTTAGAAGATTTTTCAAAAAAAATGTATGTATAGGAAATTGCATGATTAACCTTTCCTGAAGGTCTTTTGCACACATAATGGCTTTTCGTTTCATTTCAACCATTATCATTCACATTGTGACTCCCTGAAGAAATCAAATTTAAATCAAATCTAGTCCACCAAAAAAATGTAAAGGTAAAGGCTGTAAATGGCTGTGTGCTGAATCACGTCTAAATGAAGCCTATTGTAAATGAACAGGACAAGCTCACCTGCGGCTGGGTGCGAGGACGACGCAGCTGACGGGTTCCAGCCTCCGTTAGAGTCTTCTGACTCTGAATAATCAAAACTGGGTCTGGACACAGGCATCCGTTTCTGCCGCGGCTGAGACTGGGCCTTGTTTACTCTGCAAAACACACGCAAACATGAACATAAATCCATGCACACAAACACACACAGCTTGCAACCAGGTAAACCATGTATCAGGGGCTGAAAATAGTTCCCCAGAACATTTTTCAGAGGTCATATGGACTTCTTAAAGTGATACTCCACTTTTTTTGGAAATAGGCTCATTTTACAACTCCCCCAGAGTTATTTAGAAGAACATCAGTAACCAGACAGTTTCTGGTCCCATTGACTTCCATAGTATATATTTTTTCCTACTATGGAAGTCAATGGGACCAGAAACTGTCTGGTTACGGATTCGATAAACCCAACTGTTTAACACTGGGGGAGTTGTAAAATGAGCATATTTCCCCCCAAAAAAGAGGGGGGAAGTATGTGTGACTACGTCACAAAACTGTGGACTCCACTGTAAAAAAATATTTTCAAGATTTGTTATCACAACATATTTTCTTTTGTCAAATCAACTTTATAATAATTAATTTAGTTGAGATAACTTATTATTTTGAGTTTCTGATGATTAAATGAATCTCCTTCATTGTATTAACTCACTTTTTCCAGTTCAATCAACTTAAAATTTTAAGGCAACCCAGATTACTTACTTTTTTAAGTTAAACCAACAATATGTTTTACAGTGTAGTAATCACAACATTTTTTTCTTTTGTCAAATCAACTTAAATAATTTATTTAGTTCAGATAACATATAATTTTGAGTTTCTGATGGTTAAATCATTCTCCTTCATTGTATTAACTCACTTTTTCCAGTTCAATGAAGTTAAAATTAAGGCAACCAGGTTACTTACTTTTTTAAGTTAAACCATCAATATTTTTTTACAGTGTAGAAGGATTGAGGTTTTCGGGTGCCATTTGGGACGGCCAATGATGCTAGGTAGGGGTGTTTGCAAGGTTGTTTGAAAATATTTTCTTTGTAAATCTTTGTGCTTTTGCGTCCTATTTGAAGCTTGAAAGCTTTTGTCCCCATTCATTGTAATTGCATAGGAAAAAGTGGCCAAATATGTAAACTCAAAATTTCTCCTAATGTGTTCCAGAGAAGTAATAATGTCAAATGGTTTTGGAAGGAATTTTAATTTATGTGATGAAGGCAGATACTCTTGCAATGATGCATTTTCATCTCTAACCTTTCTCTCATCCTCTCTGCCAACTCCTCCAGGACCTCCACAGACTGTTTGTGAAATTGCAGCTGAGATTCGACCAGAGCTGCGAGCTGACTCACCTGCTCCACCTACAAACACACAGACACACATGTACAACTCATTAAAAGATGTTATTCCTTTGGGGGGAAAAAAGAGCTGCAATCTTAAGCTATATAAAACACAAATCCGATTTTTTGTTTTCTAAAAATACCAACACATCCTTCATCAGTGGTTACAAGAGGTAAAAACGATATAAATACACGTTTCGTGTCTTAGGCCATCAATGTGTACTTACATTTACGAGTCATTAAATCATGTTTAATTTTGACTTCTCTGTGCATGCTCTTTGAGGTGGTGACCATAGACCTCCATTATATGACTGACAGACACGGTTTGACCTAAAAATATCAAAATTGAAAATACTGCGGAAACAAAGACACCTACATCTTGGATGCCCTTGAGGTAAGCTAAAACATACCAAAAATTTATTTTAAAGTAGGGCTGTGCAAAAATTAATTGCGATTAATCGCATCCAAAATAAAAGTCTGTGTTTACATAATATATTTGTGTGTGCTGTATATAATTATGTTGTATATATAAATACACACACATGCATGTATATATTTAAGAAAAATGTGTTATTCATATATAAAATATTTATATTTATATAATATAGATTATGTATTTATAAATATATACAGAATTTAAGCACAAATAATTCTTAAATATATACATGCATGCATAGGTATTTATATATACAAAATAATTATATACAGCACACACACAAATACATTATGTAAACACAGACTTTTATTTTGGATGCAATTAACTGCTCTGCAAATTAACTTCGCAATTAACTTTTGCACAGCCCTATTTTAAAGTGAACTATCCCTTTAAAAGACAAAACATCATATTAAAATATCAAATATCATTGGACTGCATGACAACTACATATTCATGTATCACAGTATTTGGATGGTACTTCCATGGCACACTGAGAAACTTTTTGTTAGCTAACATCAATAACTTTGTTTAATTACAGACCCGTGCTTAAGATCGATCTGGCAAAGAATCAGAAATATCCCGAAGTTTTCTCCGGGCTGCAGTCCAGTGTCGATAAAAACAGACTGATAAATGTGTTGGCTCAGCAGACTGTCTGGAAAATATCCAGCACTCACTGATGTGGATCACTTTAGCAACATTACAATTATATGACTCTGGGTGGCCCTGGGCTATAAAAACGATCCAACAGGGGATCTTTTGATTTTTAGTAGTGTTTTTCTCAGGCAAGCATCACTTGGGATTGGTGAAATTAAATTTTAGCATGAAACCCATCCTGCACTGTTTGTGCTACGGATATTAATGATTTGCTCAAATCGTGAGGCTTATTAGAAGAGATATGACGTTACTTTAAAACTTATGTTGGTTGCACTTTTTTTTTTTTGGTTAGTTAGTTTGAGAGTGATCGCCATCCACTGTATTTATTTATTTTTTTAGTTTATTTAAGGCAGGGTATACACTGAAGATTTCGGGTTTGTTGGCAACAGTATCTCACGTAAATCTTTAAACACGCAACATATACATGGGAAACAGGACTGTAAAATGAAGTGCTACCCTCATGTTTTTGAATTGTAAAACTAAAACTACTGCATTCCTTTTTTTCATATTATATCTTTCATTTTATTTTTTAATGTTTCGCCATTGTAAATCATAGCTAACAATCCATTTTCAAACGATTTGAGTTTGTAAGGTTTTTCCGAAAAGGAAATATAACGTTACAAATTACATTTTGCAAAACACATTAGTACCTCAATAATAACATTGATGTTTCACTTTTAACAAAATTGATTTGTGTATTTTGTGACTGATAACCATTAAAGTTGCAATATGAAATATTGACAGCTAGCAGTTGAAATGGCTACTGTTAAAAATTTCTGAGAGAGTTGCGGGTTGCCAGATTGAGGACACGGGAATGAGAGCAATTGAATATGGAAAGCAACAAGTAACAACTACTGTATACGTTTGCAATGCTTGTATTGCCTTCCATAGCTGCAATACGGTGTGTTTTCCACTAACTGGCAACCCAGGATGTTTAAATACTATTGGATAAATTGGCAGTAGGCGGGGTCAAACAGATCAAAACAAAAACAGACATGGAATGCACATGTCAAAGTAGAATAACTGGGTTGGTTGTAGCATTGCTTTTTAGAGAAACAAGTATTTGAACATATTGTGGTATTTTTATGCTTTAGTACAGGCAAAATTACATACAGCACCTTTAAAGACAGCTAAAAATAAACCACATACTAAGTGTCAAAATAGTCACCACAGTGTAAGGTCCATACTGTATATCAGTACCGTTCAGCACCTTAAAACGAAGAGTTCAGAGCCTCTAATAGGCTGAAGTGAGCTTACGTCAGTATCCAGAAGGTTCTGCATGCTGGTTTCAGCTACATCTTTGGACTCTTCGAACTTCTCCACTGCCAGCCTGAGCTCCTCATCTGGAATCTTCCCCTGACGCTTCTTCTTGTAGTCATAATCCAGTCGACGGCCCTCCAGTTTCTTCAGGTGATGCTGAAGGAAAACCAGAGCATATTATTATTATTATTAGACCTACAGGTTAAGAATTACACTAATCATTTCTGAAAAATGCTAGTGAGACAAAAATATGCAGAGGTTAGCCAATCACAAGAGGGGTAATTTACATGTCCTAAATGTACAGTAAAAAACAATGGGTCAACAAATGACCATGAAAACTCAAGTAAGGCTTTTTGCAGTGCAGAAACCTCATCCTTAACTAACTACGACTTAACATATTGGGAAAAAATTATAAATGATAAAAAGTGTGCCATTTAAATCCTATTATTGTCTTATTTCAAATTTCTAAGAAAGATTTCTGTAAATAAATAGTATGAAATTATTATTATTTTTATTGTGAACTTGTCTTTTTTATAAAATTGTTTTTCTTAATTACAATCCTACACAAGTGCTCAAACATTTAGCCAATGACTTATGAATTACAGATTTAATCAATAAACTCTGATTTCAGAAAGCAGTTTTCCACCTGTATGTCTTTAAGGTCCTTATCGACTATAGTTTGGAAAGGGTCGATGAAGTTCTGTTTGACGTCAATGTCCAGAGAGTCTTTCACTTCTGCCAGTCTCTTCATGGCCTCTCCCATCTCCACTAAAGCACCACCTATAGATCGGGTGTAGAACATGAACAAAAATATTATGCAAAAAATAAACAGAAAGATACGAAAATTTCCGGAAAATGCGTATTGCATTCACTTGAGGAAACAAAATCTACTCTGTTTTTCTGAATTAACGAGTTAATTATCTAAAAAATTATGAGTAACTCATTAATTCATAAAAACAGAATGAAACAAAGTCTTTCAAAAACATTATAGATAATTAATTCATTAATTCAGAAAAACTGTTTCATGTTTCGCTGTTTTTGTTTTTGCCAAATAATCCAAATGAAATATGCTATACAGTTTCACAGTTTCTTTTGTAATGCTTATGAGAAAGAACATTCCTCTTACCAAAGTTGTTGTCCTCTCCCAAGTCTCGGCCGTATTTGAGCATACACTCCCCCAGAAGGCCCTCTGCCTGTGGATAACCTGGGCTCTTCACCTGCCCACGCATCTTAGACACGGTGTTCACCATGGTCAGTCTTGCTCTCGATGCTGACAGAGGAATACAAAGAAATATACACTGCAAAAAAAACCTAACTTTGTCTTTTTCCATAACAAATATCTAAATAGTCTTACATTTACATGAGAATTAAAGGAGTAGTTCACTTTTGAAAAAAACTTTTGCTGATAATTTACTCACCCCCACGTCATCCAAGATATCCATGTCTTTCTTTCTTCAGTCGAAAAGAAATTAAGGTTTTTGATGAAAACATTCCAGCATTTTTCTCCATATAATGGACTTCAATGGGAACCAAACGGTTCAAGGTCCAAAAGGGACTTTCAGTACAAACTGCAAACTGTTCAAAGGGCTTTAGATGATTCCAGACGATGAATAAGAGTCTTATCAAGCGAAACGATCGCTCATTTAACAAAAAAACCCCGAAACGAACGAATTGACTCGGAAAAAGACTCGTTCACTTTGATGAACGAGTTCGAACAGGAGAGTCACGAAAGTGCATCGCAGTACAGAGCAAGGCGACTATTTGAGCTTATAAAACATAAACTTTGTTTTTTTTTTAATGAACTTGAACCGTTTGGTTCCCATTGAGGTCCATTATATGGAGAAAAATCCTGGAATGTTTTCATCAAAAAACCTTAATTTCTTTTCGACTGAAAAAAAGACATGGACATCTTGGATAACAAATTATCAGCAAACTTTTTTTAAAAGTGAACTACTCCTTTAACATGTGATTATTAAATCTGTATATTGTATTTGACTTTGGGGAATATTTTGTCAATGTTTCACCTGGGTTGGGCTGCAGGTATTCAGCAGTTTTGCAGAGCACTTCTGATATGGCTTTACTGGTGATGTCAGCCTTCTGTGAAGCACAAATGTCAGAGTACAGGTGTGTGTCTTTACGTCACACGGTCAACAGAGACCACACACACTTTGACAGCACTCACAGACAAACAAAGTGAGACGGACTTGAAACAATCATCAGCGGTCACACCTACTGACACATTCAGAAAGCTGACTGATACTGAGATAAAGGAATAGTCCCTGTTCTTTACAATGTGAGCTTGACAGACTGCATTTGTGGTCTGTTGTGGCTTACCACAGAAAATCATGCAAATTATGTGTTTCAAAGGAGAAATGTGAAGCTTGTGTGTTTTTTTAAAGCTCTTAAAGGAATTCCTCTGAAAAAAGAATGAACTATAAATGAGCTTTGAGTTATGAGCTGTAAATTTGTCATTTTGAATTGGGGCCATTTCACTAGGTGACGGATATTTTGGTTACTCATTACTGACGCAATTCCTGTGGGCGGAAAAGGTATTAACCATTTTTTTAATAAAGCCAGTTTTTGTCAACATTTAACAAAACATGTGATTTCTGAGGATAAAATATCTCATATTTATAATGTACTGTTAAAAATGGTATCACATGGATTGGAATATACATATGGAAATGATATGCAGATGACATAATGCATAGTAAATCAAGGCTCCATGTATGGTTATTTCAAGGATATGGAGTAGAGATGCATGTACACTTATAAATCTGAACACGTTTGTGCGTACACAAAATCTAGCTTTTGTGCGTAATCCACTTTTAGGATCAAATCTACAAAAAGTTTTATACAGTATACGAACTGCATCCGATTATTTGTGTAGAGGATGTTTCTGGCCAATTTTCTGGTCAAATTTATTACAAAAACGTTCAATAAGTAGGAAGAAGAAAGTCTTGATCATATTTAAGAGAACTTGAACATTGCTATCACAATGTGAATGTTAAAAATGTGTTACCTTCTCAAGGTCTTTGAAGTCCTCATCCAGTTTGGTTCCCTCTGCACCTCCCACCTTCTCACTCACCATCTAAAACACATTCACATTATTATTATTTTTTTAAACCACCAAACTAATGATATTTTATATCCCCCATCCCTAACCATTACAGAAAACATTTAGCGTTTTTTATTAAAACTTTATTTTGGTATTGGGCTAACAGAGAATAAGAGAAAACAGAAAACATGCATGAGCATCAAACCACAATTGTGAGATTGTATGATAAAGTATTCAAATACAAGAAAGGTTCAATGAATTGCAAATGTAAAGACAAAGAGATCAGCTCTTAGATCTTTCATCTAAATACCGGGTGCACATTCAGCTCACGTTACAGAACGAGCAAGAAAGAGCAATGATGTTTGGCATGTAAGGAACTTAAATGGTTGCCTTTGGGGGTTCACATAAGAATCTTGTGTCACAAACTCTATAAAATGTATTTAAAGGAGTAGTTCACTTTTAAAAAAATATTTTGCTGATAATTTACTCACCCCCCGTGTCATCCAAGATATCCATGTCATTCTTTCTTCAGTCGAAAAGAAATTAAAGTTTTTGATGAAAACATTCCAGGATTTTCCTCCATATAATGGACTTCATTGGCAACCAAACGGTTCAAGGTCCAAAAGAGAGTTTCAATGCAAACTGCAAACTGTTCAAAGGGCTTTAAACGATTCCAGACAATGAATAAGGGTCTTATCAAGCGAAACGATTGCTTATTTAATAAAAAAAAAACAACAACAAAGTTTAAGTTTTATAAACTCAAATGCTTGCCTTGCTCTGTTCTGTGATGCTCGTTCGTGACTCTCCTGTTCGAACTCGTTCATCAAAATGAACAAATCATTTTCTGAGTCAATTGGTTCATTCAACAAACGAAATGAACGAATTGACTCAAAAAAAGATTCATTCATTTTGATGAATGAGTTCAAACAGGAGAGTCACGAACGCTCATCACAGAACAGAGCAAGGAGAGCATTTGAGCTTATAAAACGTAAACTTTGTTATTATATTTTTTTAAATGAGCGATCGTTTCGCTTGATAAGATCCTTATTCATCGTCTGGAATCATTTAAAGCCCTTTGAACAGTTTGCACTGAAACTGTCTTTTGGACCTTGAACCGTTTGGTGCCCATTGAAGTCCATTATATGGAGAAAATGCTCAAAAATGCTTTTTCATCAAAAACCTTAATTTCCATTCGACTGAAGAAAGAATGACATGGACATCTTGGATGACATGGGGGTGAGTAAATTATGAGCAAAAGTTTTTTTTAAAGTGAACTACTCCTTTAAAGCACATGCTCAAGTGGGCATTACAGGTTTGCGGCGTCTGTGCAACGTTTCCCAATTCCAATCCTACTCTACTCGGATGTCTATCCATCTAATTATTATAATCATCTAATGTAAAGTAAATCCATCTAATAATATCCATCCAGGTAAAAACTCAAATAAAGTGTCTCAGTTTTAGTGAAATTCAAATCATTTAGAGACATGGTGGTAATAGCACACTCTCCTCAGCCTTAGCAAACACTACTAATAACTAGGGTTGGGTATCGAGAATCGAGTATCGATTGGAACCGAGACTAACTTTTCGTTTTTCCCGGAATCGTTCAAAAGTTAAAATTTCGATTCCTAGTTTCGATATTCACAGTCCGCCGAGCGGAAGAAGAAACCACTGAACAACACCAACGAAGAAGCGTCTACCGGAAGTGTTGGCATAACCACGCGAGTCGAACATGAGTACCTTACGTCGGCGTTCCAAAGTGTGGCTTCGCTTTTCTAAAAATAACGAAATCTCGGCAAAATGCAAAATTTGTGACAAAAGGAGTATTTTTACAGAAGGAGTATTTCCTTCAGAAAGGATTATTTCCTTCAGAAAGGCCATTGGTTAGCAAGGTTAGCTAAACTTTTTTGACCCTGCCTCTTAAAAGAATCGGAATCGAGAATCGTTAGGAACCGGATTCGAAACAAGGAATCAGAATCGAGAATCGTTAGGAACCGGAATCGAAACAAGGAATCGGAATCGAGAATCGTTAGGAACCGGAATCGAAACAAGGAATCGGAATCGGAATCAGAATCGTTCAAATTCAAACGATACCCAACCCTACTAATAACACTTGTGCATGGAAGAGAGAAAAGAAATAAGAAAAGGGAAGGAAAAGAATTTGGACCAGGAATGGACCCTTGTGGAGTTTCCCATCTGAGCTCTTCCTGTTGTTCCTCAATGATCCTTCCTGTATGGGCGGCACAATCGCTTCTTTCACACACAAGCACCCCTCCTATATGAGCTGAACTCTCCAAACACAAACAGAGAAAGTATGTGTGGTGTATTGTTTTCAAATAAACAGGAAGCTTTTTGTGTACGCTCATCATCCCAAAGGGAAAATATTAAAACAAAAACAAACAGCACAGCCTGGGTGGTATAATCCAAGCTAAGAATTAGGCCTACTCTAAAAACAAAAATGTCTTAAAGGGATACTCCACCCAGAAATATAAAAAAGTGTGTCATCATTTAGCAAACTCAAGTTGTTGCAAACCTGTACGAGTTTCTTTCTTCTGCTGAACACAAAGGAAGATGTTTTGAAGAATGATTGGAACTTTGGCACCATTGACGTTCATAGTATTATTTTTTGAACAATGGAAGTCAATGGTGCCAAACAACTGCTTGGTTTCAGTGGCTCTATATGTAGTTAATTAGATTTTTGTTTTTGTTTTTGGGTGGAGTATCCCTTTAAGGCTGGAATACATTAAATTACTTCTGTGCATATTTTTTGCCTGATTGTCAGTGTAGATATGTCTAGACTGACAATCGGGCGAGAAATATGCACAGAAGTAATTTAATGTGTGTGTTAACAGAAGTAATATGCACAGAAGTAATTTAAAGTGTCTAGCTGTTAACCCTAATGCTTAATAATATTGGTTTGAGTAAGGTAAACTTAAATAAACAAATTAGTTAAATCAAATTAAATTTTATGAGTATTTAGAACTTTCTTTTTTATTTGAGTTCACAAAACTGACACATTTTAAGTAATCTGAATTGCGATAATAAAAGCCAGGAATCTGTTTTGATTTAAGTTTGAGTTTGAAGTTTGAAATTTTAGTTTGAAACAAGTTTGCTTAATTTTTTTTTTTTTTAGGTTGATAATTTAAAAAAGAGCTTTCAGTAAGATTGTGTTTTGGCGTAGTACCAAACCATTAATTAAAAAAAATAATTATTTAAATAAAAAAAAAAAAAAGTTAAATTTTTCTGTTAAAAATGACTGAACAGCACCAGATGTGATGTAGTGCATTCCAGCTCATCATCATCATTGTGAATTATTGTTACTGTCTAGTGCTTGATAATTGTTATTGTTGATTATCCATTAATTTCCATTTAAAAATTTATTGAACTAAACTAATTGTTGCGCACATCCCTAGTTGATTAGTATAGAAATATCATAGAAAAACATTCAAAACTCCCTACTGCCTTATTAACTCCTACTCATACTGACCAAATATTGAGCATATCAGTTTGCAAAACACACACACCCAGTCTTCAGAGAAGAGGAACATGTGTATTATTGACAGCCCTTCACACAATGGCTCTATTGTTTGGCTCCGAGCCGCTAGTGGCCTAATATGATTCAGACATAGGTGTGGACACACTGATCACACATATCAGTTTCCTGTAATATGACAAATGACTTCATATCCATTTCATAATATCAATCTCATCTTAAAGAAGTGCTTGTATTCATGTCAAGAAATCAAATCTAAGGTGATCTTGTGATCCACATTGTCAATATGGTTTCATAATTAATGCACAAATACTGACATTTTTGACAAATCCTGATGAACTGATATGATAAATCACTGTTATCACCATATAAAGATATGACTGCTGATATTGCTGCTGACTGATTATCCTTCACTTTATCTGCTGCAATGTCATTATTACATCCCATCCCACAACAGAACACTTATGTTTCTAGGAGACATTACCGGCTGTCGTTGAAACAACGGAGGATGGTGTACAGATCACTGAGGGCGGGGTCTATGCCACAACCACACTGTCAATCAAACCCCTTGCTCAATTCTACGTCACAAAGCGCCGAATCTTAGCACAGCTCGTTCTGAGACAGTGCATATGATTTATTGAGATTGTAAAACACTGGGTGGATTTTTATCATTCTAGGGTGATTTTGCTCACACATTTATGTTCAAACACCATGTAAAAGTGAATTTTGCATAATAGGTGCCCTTTAAGCAGAGAGGTTTAGATCAAAATCTAAACTGGAAAAAAAAAAAAAAAATCAGGAAAAATTTCATGATATGAATAATTATCTCTGCCCTAACAGATCTGACAGCTTGGTTTCTAGCATGCAGGAACATCAGACATCAGCTTTACACAATAGAGACAATACAATAGGAAAAACGCAGCTTAGCTCACATGGAAATACAATTTAGTTAAAAACTCTCCAATAGCCAAGATGGAGCAATCTCTTGGTGCAATAAACACTTCTCTTGTCAACCTGTATGTAAATGCCACCTAGAACAAAAAAAGAGCAAGTGTGATAAAGAAAGTAAAGAGAGAGGGAGGGAAAAGTCTGAAAGAAAACACCTGGTCTTGGTGGGCAGGTTCTGTACTTGCTGTGAACAAGAATCCAGTCTGACGACTAAACTAAATACCGAATTCTTCAGTTCACACACCTCTTATAAATCTTTCACACAAATATAGTTTGTGTGCAGTGATCTGTATTTATCAATTTTTACATCTCAGATTGATTATTTAATCCACAATTTTCAAATCACTGTCTGTGGAGGATGATAAAGCCGCTAGAAACAGTTATATAAATCGTTAACAGTGGGACAACTGGCAATATTGGTATCTGCAAACAAATGACAGCATACTAGTATCCCGTCAGCAATATTTTTAATTGTCCACTGATGGACGTCTACACTGTAAAAAAACATTGTTGGTTTAACTTAAAAAATTAAGTAACCTGGTTGCCTTAATTTTAAGTTGATTGTACTGGAAAAAGTTAGGTAATACAATGAAGTAAACAAACTCAAAATAATAAGTTATCTGAACTAAATAAATTATTTGAGTTGATTTGACAAAAGAAAAAAATGTTGTGATAACAAATTTTGAAAATATTTTTTTACAGTGTAGCTGTAAACCCTAATGCTTAAAAATTAATTGGTTTGAGTAAGGTGAACTTAAATAAACAAGTTAGTTCAATCAAATTAAATTTAATGAGTATTTAGAACTTTCTTTTTCATTTGAGTTCACAAAACTGACACATTTTAAGTAATTGAATTGTTTCATCGTTATGAATTTCATGAACTTTTTTCCATATTATAATTTATTCGAAACTGGGCTGAGATTTCTATCCGCAGCATGCTTTGCCATGACTCTCGAAAGGGAGAGTAAATGTTTTATTGTGTTAAGTGGGAGATTTAGTAGCATTTAAGGTTTAGCTATGCTAATTTAGAAGAGCTTCTGTTAATGAGGGGTGGGTTACCATCATGGTAACGAGTGGAGCATGAGCTTATTTTAATAACAGATAAATATTAAATGTTGTCTAATGCCATTCTCAATCATATATTGCCATGGTAACGCTATCAAAGCACTGTGTTTACCAATTAGCTAGATATGGGTAAATAATATATGTTTCCACTACTAAAAATATTTAAATTGAGATTAGGTCTACATGATAAATTTAAATTATAGTTTAAGCTAATTATTTATATTTTTTAAGAGCAATTAAAATGTTTTAGGACAAAATAAAAAGCTGCCAATTCTGGTAACTTAAACCTTGAAAAAATTAAAAGTTATTATGCATCTAATCACCTCAATTTTTTTTTTTTTTTTTTTTTTTTACCAAACTCAAAGTTTTGCCAACTTATTCGGGTTTACAGTGCATCATATCTTGCAATCTTACTTTTAAGAAAAAATGTCAAGTTAAATCTTATCAAATTTAAATGGTGACATAAGATCAAGATTTAACATGCTTTCTGTAAACTAAAGACAGACACAAGCCAGTAAGAAAAAAGTTAACTAATGACTAGTAAGTATGAACATCAAGAAGTTCTGCATTTTTAACCCTGCATGCTTTAAGTTTTATTTTAATAATGAGGCTCAGTGACTGTAAAACATCCTGTCCGACATTAAAATGCTTTCATCTGATTAATCTTCGACATGTAGGTGCACGTTATACTTGTTTTGCTTGAACAAAAAGGGTAAAGGAATGTTAGACTGGTTGAGGCCAAAACTTCAAGCAAATGTCTGAAATTGCATGTGCAAAAAGTGTACACTGTGTTTTATAAACAGGCACTGTTTTGGAGTAGACAACATGGATTAAAAGCTAATCCAGCCAAAAAAAAAAAAAAAGATATCATCTGAGAATCGCATTTAAAAACACTTCCTTTATCTGCCTGGCGTGGACTTAAACCACTAGATTCACAAGTATCTGAAAAAGGTTGTTTGTTTATCCATCACACAATGAAATAAATTATTATTCACACGGAAGAGAAAATAACTGAGGTAATTTGATTCAACTGCAGCTTTAGTCTTAACGAGGTACGATGTACTTAGGTACATTGCAAATGTTTGGGAAAATGGTGGGCAAAGAAATAATGGTATGATACAGGAATGCAAAGAAACAATGATCTATGATATTATATAATGATATATTGAAAATCATTATAGCAGTATTTGTACTGCCTATTATTTATTTTTGTATACCATATAAATCATCATATTGCAGTATTGTTCGGCGTAATACAGTAAAACACACAAAAAAATACCTTCAAAAGTAAAAGGTTCCACATGGTAATGCTGATTAGGTTTTTTTTTTCTTTTTCTTTAGAGTAAAGAGAATTGGAGGATAAAATATGCATAATCATCATGTGAATCACATTGAAAACAGTAGTGTGCTTCCTTCCTGCCCCAAAAAACACAGCATATTAATTTGATCTGAACTGTTAACCACATGTTGATTGCAAACAAAACAAAAACATGTGCTGCAATGTTTTATGATCCTTGCCGTGCATTAACAGTCAGAAACCTGTTCTTTGATTGTGGCATATGTATACTTCAATCTAGAAATAGTAAAATATTTAAAGGTCTAACTTGGTTTATTCATAAAGTATTCTACTGGGTGACAAAGCTGTTTACTTAAAAACAAAACATATATTCAACTAAATTCCCACTAAGTGTCTTAAAATGTATTGAGCTGCCTAACGTTACCCAGACACGTTCAAAACGCACTTGTGATAGCCAAATATGCTGTCTATGTAGGGGGCTCACTACATTTTGAAACATAGCAGGCTTTAACTTTAACTTCACCACAGTGGAGATAAAAGACCCCGGATGAAACAGTTCAAACATGTTGAACAGACGCCGCAAATGTTTCTTTATGACTTACGGTATATTGTTTGTTTATTGTTGTATCTAACTTAGTCTGTGTATGCTCGTGCATCCGTTGACGTGGAAACACTCACCTGACTCGCTTTATAAAACTGTTTCTTCAGTCCGGCAACAGACATCTTTGCGTCGGATCCTTTCGCTTTGACGATTTGTAGATGTTATTTAATTCACCCAATATTTAAAAATTAATCTGTAGGCGTATAGAGCTGTGAAAAAAACTTTCACGGAATCAAAACTTCTTCTTCCTGTTCGGCCAGAGTTTGAACCTACAGTGAGTGCACGTCACAGGCAGGTCACTGCGACGCGACGCAAAACGCTCCCATACACGCGTCGCGTTTTACTCGCGTATGATAAGAGATCTCTGATTTGTCAACTGGTTGACTTTCTTCTAAGTTTTTTTGTGATGTGTTAATATTACGCGTTTACTACACTGTCTGCACTTTTGTATATCTGGCAAATTGCAATAGAAAAAACATAAACATACTATCTCAGAGCCAAAAATAGAAACTCTCCAGTCCAGCTTCCGGGTCTGTGAAAACAGTTTATGTTTACCACACTTAAAACATTGTGGACCGGTGTTGTGCCACCGGTTTCACAGACAAGGCTCAAGCCATGATTAGGCCTTAATTTAATTAGTACATTTAAGTAGTTTTTATGAACGTTCATTAGAAGAAGAAAATTACTTAAAAAAAAAACTTAATTACTTAAAAAAACTGTTAGTGTACATCTTTTGAAACAAAACAATGTTGCTTTCAGTTAAAAAAGCTCAAACATCCATTTTAGTCTGGAACTTAAACTGGTCTGTGAAACTGCCCATAAGTTTGTTAGGCCTACATGTCTTTAGTAGCAGCTTGCATGAATTCACAAAAATCCATTAATTCATTTACACATATTAAAAAGAAACCTGTAACAACCTGAAACAAAATGTTTATATACATTATAATATATTATACACTTTTTGCCATTGAGATGTCTTGGGAAAAGTGTCCCAATCAACCTGAATTCACCCTATTTATCACTCTATATTTAATATCTCAACTATTTCACATATACAGTATATATATATAGTATGTGTGTGTGTGTGTGCATGTGTGCAATAGTTGAGATATTTATATGTGTGTGTGTGTGTGTGTGTGTGTATCTGAATAGATTATTCAGTGAAATTACAAAGGACAACAAATATTTTTAAAGAATAAGATCCATCTTTACTTTTTATTTATTCTTTTTTCATTTAGTGTCTTATAATTCAGACTGAAAGAACCTGTAATAGTACATCAGCAGAAAGAGGAAAGGTTTTTGACACTTTGTGATTGACATTCACAAAAATATATATATATATTTAAATATAGCTACAGGACACAGTGATCAAGAATACGGGTCTCCTATTCGGTGCAAAGTGTGAGTGTGTGTGTCGTCGGCAGAGGATACTGGTCAGACAGAGACCAGCTATCTCCCTGAGAATAAATCTTTTTTTGTGTGTGTGAAACACACAGAGCAGAAACATTTCTTCTACAAAAACAAAATAAACATTGAATTTGCTTTACAGGGTGACTGAATGAGACAAACACAATCTTGTCTTAGCAGGAAGGCATGCATCAAAGGCCTAGAGGTGGGGATTGTCAAAACAACACAATGAAAAATACATTACACAGACAGAATTCCCATAATTCTCATTCTTAACCCAAGGGCAGGCTACACAGTCCTTGATGTGAGAGGTTCGTAATGTTGGACGCACAAAAAGACGACAGATTTCCTTTTGTTCATTAAAAACTGAGATACATAACCATATCATTTCTCTCTAATGGACAGAATACAATATCATTCATTCATCTGAATCACTAAAAACCAGTTGTGTGTTGTGTAGTGTAGCTGAGAACTCTGTTGAAACTGTTTTTTTGTCGTACTGTGGTAATATTGGGATGGAAGGACGTGATCTGGGCCACAGAAATGAACAAAGGGAGAGGTGATCAACAATTTACAAAATAATACAACAGAAACCACAGCCATGCTCACTAGCCACGAGCAGATGCGATGCATGTGGTGAATCTGTACCCGAAACCTACAGGACTGAGCATTGATGGATCTCCTTTTCCTTTGGTTTGTGAAAGCACCTGAAGCCCATTATACAGGAGGAAAGATCTCACAACAGATCTGTACGCATCAACAGAACAATGTCAATGTCGGCATCTCATCCAGCTTTGCTCTCCTGTCCGGAGCAGCTCCAGAACAAAATGGGCCAAAGTCAGTTCAAACCCAGTTCGATTTATTTCTCTGGTCAGGTACTTCCTGAAAAGTCTGCTGATGAAAGTCCTGGCTCATGCTTTTCTGTAACATTCCCATCTCTCTTTACCTGCTCCACCTTTCTCTCTCTCTCTCATTCACTCTCTTGACTAAAAGACTAATTTATTTACATTCCTATTCAAAATTATCTTTTTGAAATGTCCATATAAATGAAATTAACATTTAAATAAGTCGTTCACTTCAAAAAAAAAAAAAAAAAAAAAACTCACCCCCATGTTATCCAAGATGTCCATGTCTTTCTTTCTTCAGTCGAAAAGAAATTCATTCTCCATATAATGGACTTCAATGGGAACCAAACGGTTCAAGGTCCAAATGAGAGTTTCAATGCAGCTTCAAAGGGCTTTAAACGACACCAGACGATGAATAAGGGTCTTATCTAGTGAAACGATCACCCATTTAAAAATAAATAAATAAAAAAGTTTAAGTTTTATGAGCACAAATGCTCGCCTTGCGATGTTCTGACGTGTGTTCGTGACTCTCTTGTTCTAACTTTTACAAGTCATTTGGTTCATTCGACGAACGAAATGACTCGAAAAAAGATTCGTTCATTTTGATGAACGAGTTCGAACAGGAGAGTCACAAACGCGCAACACAGAACAGAGCAAGGCGAGCATGTGTACTTATAAAACGTAAACTTTTTATTTATTTTTTAAAATGGGTGATCGTTTCGCTAGATAAGAACCTTAATCATCGTCTGGTGTCGTTTAAAGCCCTTTGAAGCTGCACTGAAACTCTCATTTGGACCTTGAACTGTTTGGTTCCCATCGAAGTCCATTATATGGAGAAAATCCTGGAATATTTTCATCAAAAACCTTAATTCGACTGAAGAAAGAAAGACATGGACATCTTGGATGAAAGTGTTTTTTAAAAGTGAACTACTCCTTTAATTGTTTCTCATTCTAAAGTGGCATTTACAAGGGAAGGGGACATGGGACTGAGGTTTCTCATTGCTTTAAAATGACAAGAAAAAAAATAAGGTGCAGCACCAAACACTGTCAAAATGTGCCTGAGCAAATAAGAGCATCTGTGGATGGAATCACTGCTTCGAAAGTTGTGTTCGCCAATCCTTTAGAGTCATGCCCATGTTTCCAAACTCCTTATTTATCACTATTCTATTGAGTAAGTTCTGCATTTAATAATGTGTCCTGTTGCAGTCAGAAGTTGTTTGCTAGAGTCTAATACTGTACTGAATGTGTCAAGTTCAGCTGAATATGAGGTATGAGATTATGTAACTGTTAAAGTGAGGATTGTGTGGTTTTCTTTACTTTACTGTAACAAAACAAGGTGTTTGGTCGTGACTCGTGACTGCACCTTTGTAGTGATTATCAGGCTGTTGTATTGCACATTAGAAAAGAGTTTAGCACTGGTTCGTTTTAAAGGAAAATTCCAGGTTAAATACAAGTTGTTTTGTACAGTTGCCCCATAGACTTCCACTACAAGTGCATTTCTGTCAATGCATGTGTTTGAATTGATTTGTGAAAATGATTTTCAAAATGTATTATTTTCATTAAATTCAATTATACATTTATCTGTTATTATTATTACAAATTTGTATTTAACGTGGAATGTTCATTTAAAGTTACACTGGTAATATTGGTCCCTTCATTTTAAATGAACAATTTGGGCACATTGGGCTTTTAAAAAGTGGATTGTCAAAGTCTCATAAAGCGTAACGCAAGACCAAAAGTGCATTGTGTACATTCGGTCTCTTAAATCAAAATAAGTGCCTTCGTTTCGTAGCTGGGATACATTCATGATTCGTCTGTGGATGAAAAAAACGAGGGGGGAGAGGGAGAAAAAAAGCGATGTTAGTGCTTAAAGAGTGACTCGGTGGGGAAGGACCTAGTACGTAGGATGCACTTCTTTAAAAAAATGTGTTGTGCTCTCCTGAATGTTCATGCTGAAGAGAGTTTGATCCTGTAAAGTTCTTTAAATCATATTTATGAAACCTCCTTCGAAAAAATAATTGTGTGCGGATGCAGAAGGAATAGTAGCATGCTTAGACATCAACATGTTGGGACAAAGGGCCCTTGCAAGCATACAACTGCACATTAAATGTCATTCAGGAGTGTTTCCGTAAAATAATAACAGGTGTGAGAGCGTAATTCATATTCGACGAGTATGGCTGTATGTGTTGTCGAATCTGAAACACTTTGTAGTGTGTTGTGTATGTATGCTGCAACAGACTGAGGATTCTCCCTGGAGGTTTTTAAAACAAAATATGATTTTACAGGTAATGGCCTCTCTTCAACACGCGCCTATAATTTCCCCTTCACACTCTCTCTCCCTCACTATCTCCCTCTCTCTAACTGTTGGTGGAGTCAGGGAAGTTGATCTCGCTGCCGAACACTTCCCTGTACAGAGGCGGGAAGTTGTAGGCTGTTTCCGGGTGAACCAGGCGGAAGAAATCCAGCTTGTCGATATGCAGGTTACAGATCGACTTCATCTGCGGTAGTTTGGACACCATCTGCGAACACAAGACAACGTAGTGTCTAGATCAGATATTCCACAATAAAAGAACTAAACCTACTGGATGATTTAAGTCTGACCTTTGGATTAGTCAGTGCACAAACATGTTTTTTGTTTTTTTTCCATGGATATTAAGCAATCAACCCATGGAACAGAAACTACACTACCACTCAAAGTCAAAAGTTTGGGGTTGTTAAGATTTTTAAAAATGTATTTTTTCAAAAGAAGTCTCAATAAGGTTGCATTTATTCTATCAAGAATACAGTAAAAACAGCAATATTGTGAAATATTATAATATGAAATAATGCATTCCTAGTTATCAGTCACACTATCCTTCATAAATCATTTTAATATATGCGGATTTGCTTCTCAAGAAATATTTCTTATAATTATTATCAATGTATGATGATGATGATGATGTGTATTTAGCATTCTAACTGTTGTTTCTGTTATTTTCCTATGTATTTGGCGGCTCATACCAACTTACTAACTTCTATATCAGATGAAGACAATAC